ATAGTTCTGATTTCTACTTCTGACGTGAATAAACCATTGCAGTCTTTTTTCTTGAACTTTTATTGAGTCTATAGTCAGCGCAACTTTTCCCTAATCACGTTGTTCCTAATCTTATCCCTTCTAGTCTTACAGAACATCCACCGTAACAGCGTAACTTATTTCAGCTACCTCGACCTTCTTTTCCTCAACCTTCTTTACATGCCACACTTTACTGTCGTAAAACAAAGCAGGTATTTCTTTTACTCACTATTTTTATATAACACTCTTGTATATCTTTCCTTTCGAAGTTTTACCCTTCCGGATTTTCAGATCATAGGTATTTAAATTATTGTACTCATCCTAGTTTTTACAACCACATAGTCCTACTCCATTTTAGACCTACTAACCTTAAGACCTCCCTCTTCAATAGCCCTTCTCGAACCCTCCAACATTTCTTTGCTTTCCTTCACTAACACGATATCATCTGCAAAAGAGCAATAACCAAGGGGCCCCTCTATTACCTTCTCTGTCAGTACAGTTATAATAATGTTATACAGATAGAGGCAGTGGAGAGACTGCATGCAAACCAATCGTCACTGTAAAACTTTCGCTCAACCCGACACAAGTCCTTAGTTTGGTGTAAGCTCCCTCACACATATTCTTCACGAGCCTTACGTACTTCTCAAAAACCAACCATAGCTCTATCAACTGCCTTAAAGCAAACAATGCATCCTTTATCCTCCTTCTCGACATAACCCCAAACTGTTTTTCTCCGATCGACGTCTCTCTCCTCCTTAACCTTGGCTCTATAGCTCTCCTCCAAATTTTCTCCCTGTCTCTCCTCTGGTGTTCTTCATTTAGTAACTTTGTAAAGTATTCATATCATATTTGCTTTATTTCAACATCGGATCTGAACACTCTTCCATACGCACTATTAATCTGCCGCCCGTGAGTAACTCCTTTGATGACTTGTCCCTTGCTTTAGCAATGCTGTATAACCTTTTTATCCCTTGAGTATTTCCAACAATTCATAGAACTTTGTAGACGATCTTTCCTTAGCATAACTACAGCGCTCTTTGTTTTTCTCATTGCTATCTTGTATGTATCTCTTCTAGGCCTCTCTTTTGGACCTTTCATACCCCTTTGTTTCCCCCAACCTTTTGTTATTATTATTGTCTATCTTCCAGAAAGAGCTTTCTTTTATTTGTTTTATAGGGACAACAGCATTTCATGATTACCTGTCTTTTCTTTCTAAAACTCTTTCTTCTTTCATAATATGACATGTTTGCAGTGCTGTCTATTCTTTGTCATCAAAATTAGATCTTAGACATGATAGGAGGTTTGGCTAAGAATCACGGTTTAATCTCATCGAGTCTGTCTTCGGCTATACGGCTATCATATGAAGTGCAACTAGACAAACATGTCGTAGAGTCAACTTGGACAGATTTTTAGACCGAAAGCAGTTTATTTGACTGTTTATTACTTATGACCTTACAATTTTTGTGATGTATTTGTTTTTTTGAGAATTTCTTCTAGATTTCACCAATATAATCAATATTATGTTGCATACATCAATTATATAAGTCGTCAAATACTATTTTGTTATAGATGCCGAAGTTTTCAAACCGCGAAGAGAGGTGAAATATGCAGAATTCCAGGATGCACCGTTTCTCCAGCTGCTCCGGGAACTCCTACTCCTATAAGACTACCCCAAACAGCGCCCGAAACTTTCAAACAATTTCTTTTATATGTGTACACAGGAAAGGTTAGTAGGTTTTATAGCTACAAGATGATTCCAACAAATCTGTTTACTTCTATAATGTATTAGTTATTTCTACACTCCATCCGGCGTATAGATATCAGCTTGTCATTCTTTTGTTATTTACTTTTACGAATCCTTTCACTCTCTCTCATTTCTTTTATCTATTTAGTACATATATTTTTTCACACAACGTTTTGGATTGGTTTTACTTTATAGACACAAAAAAAACATGTTTTATATTTTACCAAACATTGCAGATACTTCTTCAAGACAACGGAATTTTCGAAATGATGGCCTTAGCTCAAGAGTTAGGAGTAGATGAACTTCGTAATGCATGTGAAGACCATGTCACATCGACGTTATCAGTGCCATCAGCTTGTACTTTTCTTGCCGCAGCAATGGATATTCATGATAAATCTCCAGGTAGGTACGAAATTATTTATTTACCGAAGGATGATAACATTAAAACGATTTATTTGAATTTACTAGATTTGTATAAGCAGAGTACCTAGCTAGTTGTCTATGATTAAAGTAAAAATCTGCTAATATTTAATAAAAAATGTACTATCCCATTGGCATGATTAGTGTTACTTATACCTTATCATTTTTTACGGAAATTCGAAAAAATATTGTTCTAATTGAGTAAAAGAACTGAATAACCATATGTTTTATTGTTGCAAATTTTTTCATATTTCGTATCATGCCTCTCTGTTTACTAATGAACTCAAAATCGCGAATACTTTATTCTCCCCTTTTACGTAACCGTCATTTTTATGTTACAGCGATTGAATAATAGAAATTAGGGTTCGAAGCTCTTATTATAAATTATCTGTAGATACAATAAGGAACTATTTTATCCTTGAGGTCGAGAATACCCTTTAAATCACAGGTCCACATATATTATATATATAAAGTCCACAGTATAATTCAACCGCTATATTTATTTTTTAATTCCATTATTAAAACCTTTTAACTACCATATTCTACGCCAGTGACATTCGAGGTGATAGCACCGCGATAGCCTAGCTGAATTACAGACTGGTTGTAGGACATAGAAAAGAAGATCGGCTTTACAGAGGTTGGCAGCAAAAACAAAACGTTCTTTTCCATCGCTTTGTTAGGTTAGTTACTCTTTTAAAAAAGTTACTGAGTTTTTAAAAAAAAATCAGAAAAAATGGCTTACAAACCACAAAAAGTACAAAAAGTGATGGTGCAACCCATCAACTTGATATTTCGATATCTTCAAAATAGATCTAGGGTACAAGTTTGGCTGTACGAAAATATCAACTTAAGAATTGAGGGGCACATCGTCGGCTTTGATGAATACATGAATCTTGTTCTGGACGAGGCGGAAGAAGTTCATATGAAAACTAAAAATCGTAGACAGCTTGGAAGAGTTATGTTAAAAGGGGACAATATAACTGTGATCCAAAATGTAAAACCGGACTCTTAAACTTAACCTAAATATTGAAAATCTTAGCTTAAGTGTAATTTAAGTTAACAAAATATAATTCCGTAATATAAGTTTTTTTTGTAAAGCCTAGTGTGATTACTACCAGTATCCTTTATTATAAATAAGTTTTAGTGTGTACTAATATTAATACAAGGCATTTTATGAAATGATTTAATTCTCTATACTAGGAATGCCAAATAATGAGAGAGTAAGTATATTTTGATTATTGAAAGAGTTATACCAAAGAATATAGACGCTTAATATGCTAAGTGTCTATATATCTTAAACATAACATATTGTTCATATAGGTACTTAAATTTATTTAAAAAAATAGTCAGTATTTTTTACATTTGTTTCTTCATTAAACATGGAAAAACTTGTTTCAATAATGACATTTTTGTGGAGTTTTTTGACAACCACAATTTATAAAAAATTATCTGAATACCTACAAATTTTGGGAAGTATTACATTTTGCGCTAAAAGTATCAAACATCTTCAATTCCTTATAAATCGAGTCACTAGAGAATGCTCTAATAACGGACTAAGCATAAATACAGCAGCAAAGACAAAGTTATTTGTGGTTAGTAAACAAAACCTCGGCGCTATACAACTAATTATCAATAATGAACAGATAACAAAAGTTAACCATTTTAAATACCTAGGATGTTGCATAAACAAGACACTAAATCCGGATGAAGAAATTAAAACTCAGAAATTGAAAGAGGAGCATCTATGAAACTTAGATATATTCTGAACAATTCTCAGCTGAGAATTAAGTTCCTAAAATGTTATGTGTACCTATCCTCTATTACTGTATGTATGTGAAACCTGGATTATAAAGGTTAACATGATGAACAAAGTAGAAGCCTTCGAAATGTGGTTGTATCATAGAATGCTCAGAATATCATGGGTTCAACACATTTCAAACAGAGAAGTCTTGAATGGAATAGGTCAAGGGGAAGGTGACTTAATAAAGGTGATAGAGGAGAGAACTTGAATATCTGGGATATATAATGAGAGGAAGCAGGATAATGCAGTTAATACTCAACGGAAAAACAGGAATTGATAGGAAGAAATACTCATGGCTCCGAAACCTTTGTGAATGGACTGGCTTATCAGCAAATGAATTATTACATGCCGTGCAACATGAGATTGATATCGGCAAAGCTACCCTTGCCTAAAACTTGGGCACGATACTTAAAGAAGAAGAAGATGCCAGAATGTGTTTAGTTGTATCAAATACGTCAAGTAAGGTTTTTTAAAGATTCAAAAACCATTCGGTATAAGTTTTATAAGCTAAAATCTAAAGACAGTCTTGCCTGTTAGCGGGTTAAGAAGCTTTTATTTATAAAATTAACATTACCAATTACAATACAATTTTACTTATCATTAAAAAAATATGCACACATATTGTTTAATAATATTTAAACTTTAAAAAATGTTTAATAATCCTCAAACTGAACTTATGTGTCCTTGGACACTTAAGGTAATAGGAATCAAATTGTAGACAATTTAATTTGCTACAAATAACATAATGTCAATAGAACTTTTCCGAACAGCTGCAGATATAGTTAAATGGGCCATGATGATCACCAATGTCCTTAGAGATGGGGCATGTTAAGAAGAAGACAAATAATATCCAATATAAGTTTATGTAGGGTTGCTAATTTAAAACTATTTTCCCCCTTTTTCCAAGATGGTGACTGGGGGTCAAAAATAAAATTGCATCCTCTCAAAAATGTAATCTCAATGTTACTTTTCACTGTACAAAATACAAATACTAGTATTATTATTGACCAATATTTCAGGTGGTAAAGCTGCCTCGGGATTTGTGGAAAGATGTATTAGTTTCATCGGAGAGAATGCATCAGAATGTGTTCGCACCAATTCATTTTTGAACCTTTCAAAGGAAGCAGTCATCAAAATTATTTCTTCAGATTATGTAAGTTAAAATGTATCTAAATGCAACAAAAAATTAAGCATGCAAACTTTATGTAATTTTAGTATGTCTAATAAAACCAATGTTTACGAAATAATAATTTAAAAGAAAATATACATTTCAGCTAATTCTAGAATATAAAACTAAAAACTGTAGTAGTATAAGAAAATTCCAGGAACATAGATTGCTATAAAATTTGAAGTATCAAAACTATTTTATTTAAAAGGAGTACCATTTATTATGTTCCAGAAGTAATACTGAAATATATTGCATGACTTATTTCAGACTTCAAAGAATATTTTTCTCTGATGATATATCAGCCAAACAGAAATAGCAGTTGGTTACGACTATCACCCATAAACCGCTTCTCATCAACATTCGGAAATAATAAAATGTGTTTTTTGTGGAGTTCAGTATACAGTCTTTTATGTGTTTTTTTTTTTCAAAGAAATATTGTAACGGGTAGCTCTTTCAGGACGACAGACTCAGTAAAACACAGGTTAAAATAAAAATATGTCTATTGATCTAATATATGTACAATATATATGAAAATAAAATAAAATAAATCCTGTGCCGTAGAAATTAACTCTGCGTTCCGTCTGGATCCCGCGATGAATGAATCCCCGGCGGACGCCTATAAAGAAAGAAAGAAAATAATTATTAATAACAAATAAAATAGGTGTAGTCAATCGCACTCAGACGTATATTCGCTTCCGCTTCAAACCAGCGGGAGCTGCGAACACACTCGTCAACTACAAAATCGCTTATGCAGGTCCGCGATAAAGTTCAAGACACGATATCGGTAGACTTTGCTTAATTATGGACGGAGCATGAACTTCAAAGCAGAACTACCTCCGTCCGGGTGGGCTCGCCAGTTCAGGACACTGGCGAAGAGAGGAGCCTAAGGCGCTAAGCTAAAGACTGAATAAATGCCGCTATTCATATGCCTTAAATAGTTGCTCTGAACCCCACTCACATCGTGCTAAGGAGGTGGAAGCGCCAACGCTGACACTCCTACGGTTCAAGCTGTTGAACGGTGATGACATCGTTACACCCCCTTCTCTTTGGGAAAAAAAAAAAGTAGCATACCTTTTTTTTTTGTATATGGCGTCTACAGCCTTGTAATGCCATTTATCCCTCTTGGAATCTTTATTACGATCTTCTTCCTGTTGTTGCAGTACAATCTGTATCTTTTGGTCCCCCTCTCTATTAGGTGTTGTGGGACGATCTCTACAAGATCGGCGTGTCTCCCGGGTTCTGGTTCGCCTGGAGTGGATGCCGACTGTGCTTCAGGTCCGGTTATCGTATCGGGTACGCTTTTCTTCTTCGGTGGTGTTGGTGGTGTCCCAAACAGTTCGTGGAATCTTTTTAACATTCTCTCTGCGTCTTTTCCTGGTGTCACGGGCAGTTCGGGTTTCTCTGGCGTTCCCAGAGGGGTCATCTGTTCTGGTATCTCTAGTATGTCTTCCATGTTAGATGTGGATGAACTGAATTTTGCTTGCTAGCACCGCTCTTTAAATACCGTTTGGTTGTGGTGGGGATTCGATTTGTGTAATGACATTTTCCCCCACCCAAGGTTTTAAATCTTTTACGTGTGCCGTTATCTGCTTGCGGGTATTTCTATCGGCCAATTTCAGTTTTACTATTACCGGTGATATTACTGACGTTACTACGTATGGCCCTGAGTACTTCGGCGCTAGTTTGCTGGTGAAACCTGCACTCGCTGACGATAGATGGTGTTCCTTTTTCATGACTCGATCTCCTGGATGTGGTCGCCAGTCTCTTCGTCTTAGATCGTAATGTTTCTTTTGGTCCTCGAAAGCGTGTTCCATGTGCACTTTCGCCAGTTCTCTTAACGCTTCTAACTTGTTCAAGTTTTCTGCATACCCCTGTATATCTTGTCCACTTGTCGCCTCTGTTGTGTCTAATTCTCTTCCGAAATTAAGCAGCGCTGGTGAAAACCCTGTTGAATCGTGTCTTGACGAATTTACGGCGTAGCAGAATTCTGGTATGAATTTGTCCCAGTCTTTATGGTTATCTTCTACGTATGTGGCTATCATCGTTTTCAGTACTTTGTTCATTCGTTCCACTGGATTGCCTTGAGGTGAGTACGGCGGTGTTAGAATGTGATTTATGTTATAGGACTTTAGGAACGCCTTAAAATTGCTGCTTGTGAACTGCGCGCCGTTGTCCGAAATGATTTTCGTCGGGATGCCGAACTGCATAATTACCTTCGATCGTAAAGTGTCGATGATGGAGTTCGTAGATGCTGCTCTTATTGGCTGGGCAACGACCCATTTGGTAAACCGGTCTTGCGCGACTATTAAGAAAATGTTTCCTTTTGCAGATCTTGGGAATGGTCCCATTAAATCAACTGAGACAGTATGCCAAGGCTTTTCTACAGTGGACGGTTGCATTTTCCCGGCTGGTTGCATTTGAGACGGTTTATATTGGAGGCACTTCGTACAAGCTCTAACGTAGTCTGCGATTTGTTTAAACATCTTAGGCCAATAGTACTTTTGCGCTATTCGGCAAATTGTTTTTGCAATTCCTAAATGGCCTGCTGTGGTCGAGTCATGATTTTCCTCCAAAATATCTTTCCTTTTATATCTTGGTACGCATAACTTCCATGGGTTATTAAACTCTGGGTCGGCTAAATTACGGCTGCTCCAAATGTGTTTATATAACTTCCCGTTTGTTATTTGTAGATCCGGGAAATCGTCTGGGTTCTGGAGTACATTTCTATATAAATTATCGTACCAACTGCATGATTCCAATTCTGATGCTAATAATTCCAACTCTGGTTCTTCGCTCTGGTTTTCCTGTGGTTGTCGTGACAAAGCATCTGCTACCTTGTTGAGGACTCCCTTTCTATATATTACCTCAAAATCGTACTGTTGCAGTTCTAAACTCCACCTGGCTAATCGACCTGACGGGTTTTTAAGGTTCTTCAGCCATTTGAGGGACTGATGGTCTGATATGACCTTAAAATTGTATCCTTCTATATATGGCCTCATTTGCTTTATCCCGTATACGATGGATAGACATTCTTTTTCCGTTGTGGAATATTTTGTCTCGGCCGGTGTGAGGGTTCGACTAGCATATGCGATTACTTTATCCTGGCCGTCGTACTTCTGTGTTAGTGCGACTCCAAGTCCGCAGTTCGACGCATCTGTTTGCAGGTAAAATGTTTTTGAAAAATCGGGGCATGCTAATACTGGGGCCGATGTAAGTTTTGATTTTAGCTCTTCAAACGCGTTTTCTTGCTTATCGGTCCATTTCCATCTTATCTTCTTCTTCAGAAGCATGTTTAGCGGTCCTGCTATTGTCGAATAGTTCTCTATGAATCGGCGGTACCATGATGTTATTCCTAGAAACCGGCGGAGTTGACGCACATTTCTCGGTGCTGTAAGTCCGGTTATAGCGTTGGTTTTCTCCGGGTCAGTTTTTATTCCTTCTGCTCCAACCACATGTCCTAAGTATCTGAGTTCTGACTGGCAAAACGTGCATTTTTCAAAGTTCAGCTGTAACTTGGCTTCTTTCAGTCTTCGGAAGACTTCCTGTAGGTGATTTAAATGCTCTTGGAGCGTTTTAGATATTACTACGATATCATCCAAGTAGGCAAACGCGAATTCCATATCAGGAGGTATTACTTTGTCCAGTAGGCGTTGGAAAGTGGCTCCTGCGGAATGCAGTCCAAATGGGGTGGTTTTGAACTGAAAATGGCCTTTTCCGGGTACGCTGAATGCTGTCACTGGGCGGCTAGCTTCTTCTAGGGGTATTTGAAAATATCCCTGTTTCAAATCGAGGGTTGATATAAAATTTGCTTCCTTAAGTCTATCCAGAATTTCCGATATTCTGGGTAACGGATATGCGTCCTTATCTGATAGTTCGTTGACTTTTCTAAAGTCAATGCAAAACCTGTACGAGTTATCTTTTTTCCTAACTAGTACAATCGGTGAACTCCAACCGCTTGTGGAGGGTTCGATGGTTCCTTCTTTTAACATCTTGTCTACTTCTTGGTTGATGATCTGCAGCATTGCGGGATTGTGTCGTCTATAAGGCTGTTTGACTGGATCGCATTTTGTCTTCAATTTTATTTCGTGTTCTATTAAGTTAGTGGGTCCTGTTATGTTCTCAAACTCCCTTAGTTCTTTTCTTAGAAACCTTTCTAGCTCTGTATTTTTGGTGGAGTCTTTTAAAGTATTACATGCCTCTTCTTGATGTTGTACGAATTGTTTGCTCGTATGTTTATCGAATTTAAGTTCGATAGAATGGTTCCTAAGGAATTCCACTCCTAGTAAGGCATCTTCTGTCAACCCTGGCATTACTATGAATGTTTGTCGGGTTTGTAACCTATCGATCTCGCATTCAATCGTCAACTTCTGGTTAAGCTCCATTGACGCTCCATTTGCTAGTCTTGTTCTCCCGCTGTAGCTATCTAGAGAGTCTTTGTATGTCTTAGCTATTCTATCCCCGACGTAATTTTTAGTGGTTCCTGTGTCGATGAGCGCTCTGTATGTTCTTTGCCCTATTTTCAGCGATGCGAATAGCCGAATGTCATTGCTTGCTGGCTGTGTAACGGCGAAAACGAATGGAGTCGAATCTTGCTTTACAGACTGGGACGACTCCTTGTTTCTCCAGTCTGTAGTTCGTTTCCCTGACGCCTAAAACAGCAGTCGCTACTGTAAACCCCTTCTCTGCCGCAACGCGAACAAAACTTTTTCCACGGGTTTTTGCAGTTTTTACGGATGTGACCTGGCATCTTGCATCTAAAGCATGTCGTTTTGGCATCGTACTCTGCTTGGTCCGTGCGTCTCCAGTTTCCACGGCAACTCTGATTTGATCGGTTCTTTTCGTCTTCTAAAGCTTCGTATTCTTGAGCTAAATCTTGTAATTCGGCTAAGTTTTCAAAATCTCGGCGGCGAGCATAAAGCTTATATTCTGGTAACAGATTTTTGTATATCCTTTCGAGTTCTTGGTTTCTGGAAAACGATCCTTCTCGTCTGGTTAGTGTTTGAATCTCCGTGATATATCTATCTACCGGCTCATTTTGTCTCTGTTTTCTGTTTCGGATTTGCTCCTCTAGTTGCAGCAAATATCCTCTGGGATAGAAAGCTTTTTTAAAATCTTCGCTGAAATCTGCCCATGACTTCCAATTTTTGTTATTGTTTCTGTACCATAACAAAGCGTGGTCTCCTAATAACTCTGGTAATGCTCTTAATAGATCTTGTTTATCGATCTCGTAGGCCAAGCTTAATTCGTCTATCCTCTCTAAGAATCCTATTGCATCCGAATGTTTCTTGTCGAAGTGTGTGTTCCACCTTCGTACTTGATTTAGCAATTCTGATTGCCCCATTTGTTTCGCTATTGTTAATTCTTGTAATTGTCTTCGGATGCCCGAAATTTCCTGGGCCAGTGTGTCGGATTCTGTTCCCTTGGAAGTTTTTTCTTTTTGCATTGCTCCTGTCGCTTCCTCGCGATTTTTAAAATATATCCTGAGTCGTACTCTCAATTCGTCGACGGTTCCCTTGGAATCTAAGCCGAATTTTTCGGCCTCGCTCTGCAATTCCTCTTTGCAAAGTCGGTTTATCCAGGATGTACCTGTTACTGAGTCTGTGTCCTTATCTGTCGGCATGTTACTAAAATTTTTTTTTTTTTTTTTTTTTTTTAGTAACTTTCCAATCCTCAATTTTTCTCGGGCGCCAATTTGTAACGGGTAGCTCTTTCAGGACGACAGACTCAGTAAAACACAGGTTAAAATAAAAATATGTCTATTGATCTAATATATGTACAATATATATGAAAATAAAATAAAATAAATCCTGTGCCGTAGAAATTAACTCTGCGTTCCGTCTGGATCCCGCGATGAATGAATCCCCGGCGGACGCCTATAAAGAAAGAAAGAAAATAATTATTAATAACAAATAAAATAGGTGTAGTCAATCGCACTCAGACGTATATTCGCTTCCGCTTCAAACCAGCGGGAGCTGCGAACACACTCGTCAACTACAAAATCGCTTATGCAGGTCCGCGATAAAGTTCAAGACACGATATCGGTAGACTTTGCTTAATTATGGACGGAGCATGAACTTCAAAGCAGAACTACCTCCGTCCGGGTGGGCTCGCCAGTTCAGGACACTGGCGAAGAGAGGAGCCTAAGGCGCTAAGCTAAAGACTGAATAAATGCCGCTATTCATATGCCTTAAATAGTTGCTCTGAACCCCACTCACATCGTGCTAAGGAGGTGGAAGCGCCAACGCTGACACTCCTACGGTTCAAGCTGTTGAACGGTGATGACATCGTTACAATATCTTAACCTAAAGAAATAGCTTTAAGGAAAATTGTGGATTTTTCCATCAAAATGAGATCTCTCGTAAGTAATGGTACTTTTTAAAAACTTGACCATAGCTCTGAAGATGGCTTTGTAAGCCGAAACCTCTCAGCCAGGAAATGAATGTTTACACACTTCAAAAATACTTTTCTTTTCCATTCTTTGATTTGTCATAAGTATGCACCAAAACATATCAGTCTTTTCATCTAATATGATAATATTACTGGGTTTTACTAAATTTTACATCTAGGTCTAGGACGAATACTTGATGTTGGAAAATCGGGCTCTACGTTTTATTTCATTATATAATTCTTTGTTCTAAATTAGTAACCAGATATACCCAGACCCGTCCCCTAAAGTTGCTCCCCTGAACTTTGGATGATCGATTTATTGCTCATATGACGGTTGTTCTGATTGTATTGAATTCTATTTCGGTATAATGCGTGGAAATTATTTTTGTAGACCTTGGTTCATTAGTACCACCATCCAGTCTACATAGATTTATTTTGTCCAGCTCTTTATTTTTGTTTATCAAGTTTACTGGCTAGGTATGCTAGCACATGCTTAGATTTTGGGACTTCTTCAGCTTTAACAGCTTTCCACTTCGTTTTTTCTTTAAGGAAATCCTTTGTGATATTAAAAAACTCTTCCTCAGCAAATATCTACCCAAAGAGTCCATGAGTCTACATCCTTCAAATTGAGGGGCACACAAACTTTCATCAATAAGGTTTGTTATAGTATCTTTTATGGAGAGGAAGTTGCAGGTTTGAGCTTTCTTCTTTAAGCTTCACATATCAATGCCGAGAAACGTCAAGTGTCACGATGCTTTCTGTAAGAGTACTAGAATCATCTAATGTTATTGGTTTTGGGACTGGTGTTTAATAGAGATCCTTTTAGAAATAGTTTTTTAGTTTTCAGCTGCTTCTTAGATTCTTAAGTAAGACATAATATGAAATAAGGTGCGGTATAAAGCCTCCAGTAGACCATTTGTCACAGTTCTTTTTAGATATGTACCTGCCATGTAGGTTTGGATACGGTACAATACGTCTTTACCTTGCATATTGTTATTCTTTTGGTGCTCCGGCAACAGTCTATCTGGCTCAAGCCATCACGTTTAAGTGGAACAGCACGATGAGGTTTTACTCCATTTTGCACATGTTTATGATAACTTATCTCTTTTCTTTTTACAAAATACAACCTTCCCATATTGGTTTTACTTTTCGATTTTAATAAAATATTTGATACAATGTTTCTTATAAATTTGGAGTCACACGCCCGAAAAGCATAAGGATATAAATATAAAATCACTGGAAATCTTTAGCTTTCTTCTAGATCGATCAACCAGTGCATCCTTGTTTTAATTATTAATTAAAATTTCGGCCTGCTATTCCTATTTACATTGTTTTTCTTTGTACCGAAATTTTTTATTAGTTATATGCTACTAATATTTTCCCTTTATTCTAATACTTTCCCTATGTTATTTCTTTACATGGACCATACATTTATTAAAGGTTTCCTAGTTTCTTTGCATGGCTTCTTTAAGATGTTATCAATAAGGTTCTATATTCTTGGACTCATTGCTTATATATTAACATAGTTTCAGTACTGTAATTTTTTTATCAATTTTAGTTGTGCCTTGAAGAAGAAGATGTTTGGAGAGCTGTCCTCAACTGGGCAAAATATCAAGCTGGTGTTACACAACCTACACCTCATTGGACTGAAGAAGAAAGAGCTCGTGTTTGCCAGTATTTATCTTTGGTTATTAGCCATGTTCGCCTTTTGCTCATAGGTAGGTGGTGTTCTATCAAACCCCCTTAAGTTAATAAAACAATAAATTTGATCATATGCCATATTCTTCTTAATTCAAGCGAGACAGATCATTTTGTTGAGTTCTCAACCATTACATAAATTTAATGATCTATATTATTTACATCACTCTCATATACTAGAAGATATTTAAATATTTAGTGATGAAATCATTTTAAAAACTAAAACTAGTATATTATCTAGCTAAGAGATTAAGATTTAGTGAAAATAAATAGACGTGAACCCTTAGCTAGTCAGAAATTATAACACTTAGGAGCATCTGGAGGATAATGGGGATTATAAAATTAATAAACGTCAAATTTCTGTAAAATAACAAAATTGCTGGTAAATGCATCAAGAATGAAACAAAAAAGCATTAGAAAAGAGATTAAATCGATCTCATAGGTCACATTATCCAATCTTCACTGTAAGTGAACTTATATATCAACAACTTTATTTTTCAGATAGCCAAGTTTTTGCTGAAGAAGTGGAACCAACTGGTGCAGTGCCTATGGAACTGAGCTTAGAAAGATATCGCCATGCTGCTTTACCAAGCAAGTATCCAGAAGCTTCGGAAGATCAACGTCTAAAACCGAGAATATCTCCACACGTATTTCCTGGCTCTGCTATACTGGGCCAAGACAAGAGCCATTTCCAAAGAATTCTAAATGCTTGGTACGGTAACAGTAAACAAAACTGGAGGCTCATTTATAGAGCTAGCAGCCATGGTTATTCTGCATCTTCCTTTCACAGACATTGTGACGGAATATCTCCTACTTATGTCATAGTTCTGGTATGTTTTTAAGTTTGCTTAACCGTATATAACATTTTTTAAAGTTTTACCCCTTGCAGGGCACCAGGGGAGAAATATGTGGTGGATTCAGTGATGCTGCATGGGGCAGACCTCCAGGAAAAAGTCATTATGTGCATTCTGAAAGAGCTTTTGTTTTTACACTGTATAATCATCAAGATGTACCTCCCACTCAGTTTCATTTAGTGAAAAAACCGTTTGCCATATGTTATCATCCAGAGTATGTATATGTACTATAGTTTTATAGATAAGAACGTAATCAAATATACTCTTTTTTATAAATGTTTATCTATTTTAGTTCTGGTCCTATTTTTGGAGCTGGGGCTGATCTACTTATTTCAAGTAATTGCAATACAAACATGGATAGTTATTCAAACCTTCCACATACATACGACGGAGAAGGCGCTTCTCCGTCTGTGTTAATGGGAGATTACAATTTTATGGTGGCTGACTATGAAGTCTTTACGCCTATAAATTCATCATCAAAAATAAATAAAAGTGAAAGATATCAGTAATATTTAGAAATAAAGTTTTATTTTTTTACATTGTTTTTTTATTTTCATCAAATTCCCATCAAGGTGGTGTAGAGTTGCCATATATTTATATTATTGTAGAACATAAATGGCGTTTCTATATAAGTAGATTTCAAAATGATTGTTTGACCCTGTAGTAGACCTTTCCTCTGCGACCTGAAAGATCTTTGGTGTATATCTTACATCTACAAAAAGATTAATCGAAAAGATGATCTTATACCCCAGAATTGTTCTGATCTGATAAAAGGAGTGCTATCTCCTTTTTAAGACTTATATAATACAGCTTATTTCAAATCGAGTGGCGAGCCCTTACACGAAATAGTTAATCGCGCAGACAATAGAATATCTATGATCAGATCCATGCAGTGGCGTTGCAATATTAAATTAATTAATTAAATAAACTAATTAAATTATTTGAAATCGCACTAATTACAAAATTATTACTCACTTAAATAATAAATGGAGTTTGATTGTACACAGATTGTTTTATAGATACCAAACTTTTTGTTTGTTATGATATTATCTTAAATAATTCTATGAAGTTTGGTAAAAGTTAATTTCTAATTTAGTATCAGTTACCTTAAAACCGCAATTATAAAGTCATTATTAATGACTCCTTAACAACTCGTTAAGGACATACAAAGAACTGATAAGAATTATTTCCGAGAATTTCTAGTAACTGGATTTGAAACTAGTTCGTAATTTAGTCTCATTATGTTGTTGCGTCTCAACAAGAAAGGTGCTACCACGCGTATTAGAACTATTTTGTAGAATGGGAGATGGTTAAGTGTAGTACGAGTAAACAGATCAGATGATTGACACCAGAATCCAAAGGAATAGTTTACAATGTATTTAAATATATGCAAATACTATTTCCTGAAGATAATCGAACCACTATTAAACAACGTGTGAGTGAAGCTACTGGAGTATCTTTACGTACAGTAGAACGGATCATTCAACAAGCGAGTATGTTAACAAACGCAGAGTCAAATAATACACTAAAATTTTTAGATACAACACTTGCTAAAAGGATAGCAACCGCGACAGACTTGAGAGAGTATGACGGTTCATTAGAAATACCATTCATCATAAGTATTTTTTGGGACGCCACTGTTTTGTTTGGTGAGGCTTTAATGTTCACATTTACAATCGCAGTAAAAATGTGGAATCACACTAAAATAGAACGGCAACAAACTTGTTAAAGTTTAAATCAATGGCGCACCCGGGGGGTCAACCCCCCCTTCCCTCAGGACCCTATTCCGACACTGTTATTTACAAATTTTAGGACTTAAAATGGTGGAGATATCATAAAAAAATTTCGGTGCCCAACCAAAACCCCCCCAGAGGACAATTCTAGGTGCGCTACTGGTTAAAATACAAATACAAGGAAGTAAAGAACTTAAATCATAGCGACGTAGTTCCAGGATAATGGTAATAATGAAAAATACTCGGTTTTAGGCTCCATTTTATGGTGAATTTTCAGTTTAGAAATTAGGTGGGAAACTTAAGCAATACGTTTATAGAAAACAGGAAAAACATAGAATAATATAAAAATTGAAATTTTGGAAGGAGATAATTTTAAAACATAGATGCATACCGATTAAAAAGGGGCAGGTATATTTAAAGAAGAAGAACAGATTATATTTGAAATAATCTGAAATATAATGTGTAATTTTGATAAAATAAACCAAACACGGAAAAGAAAAACTTGATTTATCGTTCTACTATTACAAATATTATGTACACTATTTAAATTACATTAAAAATCAATTTAAACTTATTCTGTGATGATAAAATATTGCAGAACTATTTGTTACAGTAAACCAATACAATTGCTCGATAATTTATAATGGATTACTAATGACTCCTCCATTGGTCTGCTGTATATAGATCGGGAATTGTCCATTACCCCCTGCCTGAAAGAACCGAACCAAAATAAATCAGATACTAAAGTATGTCATCTGCAATAAAAATATAAACAGAAGGAGAAATCCTTGTTTATCGGAGAAATAGGAAATGTTTATCAGTTTGATTGTGTAAATATGAAGTGAATATAAACAGGAGTTTTGTTCAGTTAAATATTTTTATCTATAGATGCACAAAAGTTTCAATAACACAAAATGAAAATACGAGATTTTATCAAATCGTTTCGATTTCGAAAAGGAAGGCAAATTTCGACAACAAATTTGGTTTCTTTTGAAGCATTTTACGACGATAGGGGTAACAAATTTTCCGATTTAAAAGATTCTTGCACAAAGTCCAATCTATCTCCGTCCCAGGTAAATAAAATGTACATATTACATAAAGTTAAGATTTATTTGTTATGCATTTAATAATAATGACGTTATTTGATAATAAACGTACTATTAATAACTTATTAAAAGGCAATGAAATTAAAAAACCCATGATAAAGGCATATAGGTCAATGCTGTTTTTAAAAACAATATTTATTCTTTACCATGCAAGTTATAAGTAGAACTTTATAAGCTTGCATTTGTTATGAAGTGAATCAGTCAATGAACTTAGCATTGAATAATTTAATATGAAATCAAAATTCATAAGGGTTAGTATTTAGTATGCTGCTCTATTGTTTAATATATGAAACTACAACCTATTAACCTGCTGGTAAAGAAAAACAGCTGTTTAATGTATTGAAAACAATTAAAATGTGTGACAAAAAATGTTTTTTGTTTCAGAATGAAGAATATATTGGTGGTTATGTACGTTTTAAAGAAACGAGTGAAGCAAAACCAGTATTCCGTCCTAGTCTCCCTATAATACTGGTGATTTTCATTCTAATATCTGTTTTTATAATACTACCGATAATATATCTAATTAATTGCTTTAGATTCACTTTTGACAATCAAGATTTTTATCATCGTAATTCTCCAGCTGTAAGTATTATTTATTATAATTATTATCCTAAATATATGATCTTGTTCCTAAAAGTGTATCTTTATAAAAATCTCAAAAGTTCAAACTAAATTGCATGAAAAGATACATAAGAGAAAGAAAAACAGATTTCTAAATTAAACACTACATTCTACACTAAATGAAAAAATAATATATATAATACTCAATAAACTGCTAGACTCAATAAAAGAGATTCAAACTGCAATGTGAAATTTTGTAGTTTTTATTGATACCAAGTATTGTTTGCTTTTCAACTTCATAGATTCGTTATAATGATGTGATACATTTGTTTAAAATATCTAGTTTTTGTTCAATCAGTAAAACCTTAAGACATAGAATCTATAGACGTAATTAGCAACAAATATAAATTATTTTAAAATTCTAATACAATTGTTCGTTCAAGTTTTATAAAGGTAAATTACAATAAATAGCAAAAAATTATTTAATAGAACTCTGTGTAAAGAATCTTGTATTTTCTGTTTATAGTGAAATAAATAAATTTTTTTTCAGATAGTATAAAAGTTAATAAACATGATTTCTCACTTTTTTATCACAATAAAATTGATTTCGAAGTATTTGGGCTATTCATTTATCTTCCACATACTAAAGTATATTTATGTGCTTTGTAGATCTACAGTGATACAAATACTAAAGAGCCTAAGGAACAAACCACAAAAAGACCTTGGAAGTTACACGATCTACCAGTTCCTCCAGCACCTGATTACAACCAATGCAAATTATTAACTGATTTAGATAAATTCGATTGTTTTCCAGAAGATGGTGCCAATGCTGAGAAATGTGAAGCTAGGGGATGCTGCTGGATTCCGAGGAATAAATCTGTATTATCGCAAGCTCCGCTTGATGTGCCGTATTGTTTTTATCCTCCAAATTATAATACTTATAAAGTGGTAAATATTACAGAGACCAGTTTTGGTCTAATAGCTTTTTGGAGGAGACAGTATAGGACGGCATATCCTGATGATGTGGATGAATTAAAGATGATTGTTAAGTATGAAACAGAAACAAGACTACGTGTAAAGGTAGGATTTGTGATCATTTTCGTTTTTTTTTTTAAAATATAATTGATATATCATTTGATTTAGATATTAATATTAAGGGTGATTGTAAGAGATATATTTATTAAATAACGGGACTGACAGTGCTATAAGAGAAGTAAGCGTGTACCATATGCCTGCGACTGTCAGCTGATATACCAGCGACTGTCGGCTGATATGCCAGCGACTGTCAGCTGATATGCCAGCGACTGTCTGCTGATATGCCAGTGAATGTCAGCTGTTAAGTGTGTAGCCCTCTCTTTTAGCATCAGCAACTCCTACTTCTGTAAATGAATGCATATATCGTTTGTTTTTATTATATATTATATTTAAAAAATAAGCTGAAGTAAATTCTCAGAAAAAAAAACTAAATTGTTAAGCATATTGTAGATGTGTGCTTTTCGTACAACGTCAATATTTTACGTTGGGTTTGACAATTTAGATAGAAATTTTTCCATGTCACATGGACTATTGGAAAATTTAGTTACCTGCTGTTAGAACAGTATGCTAGGGATTATTCAGCTGGTCATAGACATACTTTAAGGGAATTACATTATTTGTTTAGGTTTATTATCATTGTTATGACAACGACCTATTAAATAACAAGAAATAAAGAAACTCTTAAATTAAATAGGTATTTAGTTAATGGTCTTTTGATAGTTTAGATAGAAAAAGTTGATTAGCGAAAGATGGTTTCTGATAAATGTGAACGTCATTTTAAATGGTATAAATTTCGATTTTGTTTGGAAAACCAATGATTAATAAAATGGTTAACTGTCTTTAAATAGTCATTCATTAATATTAGAATATTTTTGTTCAGTCGATTATAAACGAGTGAAGAGATCTGACACAGTTGTTTTTTGCAAGAGTGAATAGTTTGCAAGAGTTTATAGAATATCGAATGAACGTGTGATTATACACCAGTTAAAAAATTAAAGTTGAATCATTTATCACTTAACGAAAAGAGTGTTATCCTCAATGTCTACAATTATTTTATTATTTTAAGCAACACAATCCTTCCAATACTGTTGATAGTATAGTTGAAATTTCGTCTAAAGTAATGGGATATTCAAGATCAACTGTATATAACATTTTAAATGATGAAAAATCAGCTGGTATAACCCCACCCGAACCGAAAAACAGGAAAACCAAAATTGTCAAAAGTGAATGTGGATGAATTTTTCAAAAATGCAATTCGTAGAATGGTCCACTCATTTTTTTAACAAACAAATACCAACTTTAGATAAAGTTTTACAAGCCATTACCGATGATCCCGATTTACCCACAATAAGTAGAGTCAAACTTTGGAAAGTTTTGCATGAATTAAACTTTAAGTATAAAAAAGTTGACAGACAGTAAATGCTTATCGATTCCGAAGAAATTGTATGTTGGAGACGAGACTATCTCAGAAAACTAAAAAAAAAATGAGGTAGGGAGAGTTTGGAAAGACAAAACTATAAAAACATGTCGGCAAGCATTTCTGGAAGGATATTCAACTGGTTTCAAGGAACCAACAGGTAAAGATCGACGATTAATTGTTGCCCATATAGGTAGTATTAATTCATTTCTTAAGGAGGGTTTACTTTGAAGACGTGTTTGAAGAATATTTCGACCAGATGATTAAATTCATACCTAAAATATTAGAGGTCGCGAAGTCGCACCAGCCTCAATTAACTAACTTCGCTTGGCTCTAGAAGAGGAATGGCAAAACATCCAGCAAGATGATATTCGCAACCTCATAGACAGCATGAGCCGACGTGTATAGGCAGTTCTAGAGACTAAGGGAGGCAATACAAAGTATTAAGTTATTTTTTAGTAGTTTTTCTTTGTTATTTGAGTATTTAGGTTAAGTTACATTTAAGTTGTTTTTTTATGTTTTGTTATGGTTATAATTTTTCATTAAAACCAAGATCATGTCGTTGCTTTTAATCATTATTTAAAAACAGTGCAAAATCGATATTAGGATATCCGCAGCATCACCTCGTAAAGCAGCAGTCAAGGAAATAGTCTTTTATTGTTCTGTAGAATGATTGGCTGTCGCAATAGCTTCAAATTGTCTAAGGTATACGGACCAAGACGACTTTCCATCAAATGGTGGCAATTTGAATATCATATGTCGTTTCGTCTCTAGGTGATTCTTCTTTCACTACAGGATCTAAAACTACTGCATTAACTGATAGTAGCACTTTTGTATTAGTTATCATGGTCTCTAACTGTTTAATCTTCTCTTCTACCTTATCGAATGTTCTAGAAATTTCTTCAAATTTCTCATTGTTCTGACTACATACTTCGTCGAATCTTCTAGAAACATTTTCGAATTTCTCGTCGTTTTGTCTAGTTGCTTCTTTAATAATTTGAGACGTTTCATCAAATCTTTCATCTTTTTTTCTACAAGTTTCTTCAATCAGTTGTGAAACATTTTCAAATTTCTCGTCGGACCTTTTAGAAAGGTTTTCGAATTTCTCGTCGTTTTTTCTAGAAGTTTCCGTAATCATTAGAGAAACATTTTCAAATTTACAGAGAATAGTCCACCTCTATTCGCTTGCATTAGCGCCTCGATCTCCATCCCGGTCGATACATCCGGAAGATTCCCGAACACATCGAGAACATCTCGAGATGCAACTGTTATAGGGGCTATGTCAAAATAAGCATGTTCGGTACAGTATTTCTAAATTTGGAGATCAGACTACGTACCATTCGCTGCTATATATTTTCAATATTATATGGAGCTGAGACTTGGACATTAAAAAAATGCAATTTAAAAAGAATCGAGGGTTTCGAACTCTGGTTATACCGCAGAGTATTTAAAATATCATGGACTGATAGAATTACAAATAAAGAAGTGCTGGAGAAACTGGGTTGGTAAAGAAACAGAACTAATCACCACTATACAAACCAGATAACTGGAATATCTAGGCCACGTGATGAGAGGACCAAAATATGAAATTTTGAGACTCGGAATACAGGAAAAGATTCAAGGAAGAAGATCTGTTGGCCGAAGGCAGAACTCATGGTTGAAGAATCTATGTGATTGGTATCAATGCAGATCAATTGATTTGTTTAGAGCAGCAAGTTTAAAAATAAAAATTATGATTGCCAACCTCCTTAGGGAGACGGCACTCTAAGAAGAAGTACAGTATTTTACTTATTATAATTTTCCTGTGTTGTATTTTAATTTTTATTTTAAGTTGTGTTAACTTAAACTGTAAGATTTGTGAGCAATTTAGTTCACGACATAAATAAATATAATTGCTAAAACTAGAGGAATTGACAAATTTCACTTAACAATGGTAGCTGTCATAAAAATACTTCTGGCCCTGTTTTAAACAATAAAAGATTCGCATGAAAGTGAAATAAAATATGTTAAAGCGTCAGTCTTGTTATTTAGTACCCACACTTTATATTTAAATTTTTCATAACAATTACGTTTTATGATACTAATACTATTAATAATTAATTATGTATTTTTTTAGTTTGTAGATCCAAGTAGCTTCAGATTTGAATCACCTTACCCAGAAGTACCAATTGTTGATAAGGCGTCGTTAAGTTTGTCATATGTTATCCAAATTAACACGTTCAAATCTGGATTTAAGGTGTTAAGAAAAAGTGACAATGTTACAATGTTAGTACCTACCTTATAATTACTTTAATCATTACAAATTATTTTAATTAACTAATTGTCTGTTTTGGACGACCTGTATGTGGGTAGACGCTCCACTACCCAGGTAAGTTGCTTCTTCGTGATTAGTTACTCGTCCAGTAACTCAAATACTCAATAGGGTTTCATGTTTCATCTCTGGATTATTTGAATATTTGAGTACTATGAGTGAATCCTTCGCTTACGTCTGCACCTGAAGGAGCTATCTACAATGGTAGCAGGACGATGAGATACAATCACATACGGGTCGTTTAAAAAAGACACGATCCAAACCCGATATACGATTCTGACTATGGCCATGAAGTCTCCGATTTTGTTCAGTATCAAAATTTTTTTTCCTACGTAAAGTTAATATTTTAATTGAGATAAATCAGTAAAAATATATCTTTCAAATACAGAGAGTTTATACGTTTAATTGATATCAGCAAAAAATAGGCGGTGGACTGAGTATCAAGACTCAGGGACTTTGAGTTCAAGTACAAGAATTCGAGAAGAAGGAAAAGTAAACATGTTGATCCAAATTTCAATTTCTTTCTTACACCAACAGATACCTCTGGCTATTGTTTAACACTCTAAAACATAAGTCCTAGAAGTTTGAATTCTCTTTTAAATTTGCATCCAAATTTAAAGGTTCTACCTTGTTGTATGCAGTGTTCCCAGCTGAAGGTGATTGGATAGGAATTCATTCACATACACTGCTGAGAGCGGCACAAATCCGTCAAATCGGTGCCAAGCTCCTCTGATGGGTAGTGCACTTGAAGAAGCAATTTTTTAAACTACTTTTCTATTTACTAAAAACCATTTTTCTGTAAATTTTACAATTAACGACAAATTTCATATTCACTGCTATATTTTTATCTTTGAAATTTTTATACAGTCAATATCTCCCCTTAAACCTGATTTGAAATTGATAACGATGACTAAGAAAATAACAAAGCATTCATTGGACCCAAAAACTGTAGAATTGATCTCAGTAGTATAAAAAATTCGACATAAATCCTGATAAATTCAAACGAAAATATAGTAATATTTGCCATAAAAAAGTATTTATCTATTGCTTTTTAAGAAATCCTCTCATACACATTGGTTAAGTAAAATCTAGTGTCTCTTTTTCTAAATATTGATTATATTTACCATCTTCAGTATTGTTTATTTGGTATGATATTTATCATTTTATTATGTTTTCAGATTTGACTCAAATAACTTCCTAAACTTCATCTATTCGAATCAAATGCTACAAATAAGTTCAAAATTGCCTTCAAAATATATTTATGGTATTGGAGAGCATAGATCAAATCTTCTACGGTCAACGGAATGGTCCAAGTTTACACTATTCAACCATGATATGATTCCTACAGATAATGTAAGTTATTACATGTAAAAAGTGTAAGTTGTAAATAGCCTGCCTTATTATTACAATGTCCTATATAATTTTGGATAAACCGACAATATTCTAGAATGCATGCAATATTATCTTTTTAAGTTCTTGTCTGAAGTCACAAATGTTTATATGAGGACTGTTCGATAACTATACAGCCTAACAGATATTGAGCGAACTCTTGTTTTGGTGGTCTAAATCTAACAGTTTATAGTGGTAATTTAGTCTGTTAAATCAACAGAATAACAAACTGAATTAAACACTTTTCAAATTTGTTCTGTTAATTTTTTTAATGGTTAAAAACTGAATTTACGAATTTAAGCAAAGTCTGATAAGCACAAACAAAAATTGCTATTATGATGACCATCGAATAAAAATTTAAGAGATTTTTGTTCCTCTCCATTTTTTTCTTAGTGTCCAGTCATTTATATTCTTCATGATCCCTTATTTGCCTAAATCTCCTTTGTTACCTTGTCTTTCACTTGTATTTTTCTTGTAACATCTCTGAATGTCTTCATTTCACACGTTTCTATTAATCTCCGTGTTTCTTTGGTATCAAGTCTTTTCTCTACAGTATAGGTCATAACGTGCCTCACGTTATGACCTATTATGACGAATAAAAATTTAAGAGATTTTTGTTCCTCTCCATTTTTTTTTCTTAGTGTCCAGTCATTTATATTCTTCATGATCCCTTATTTGCCTAAATCTCCTTTGTTACCTTGTCTTTCACTTGTATTTTTCTTGTAACATCTCTGAATGTCTTCATTTCACACGTTTCCATTAATCTCCGTGTTTCTTTGGTATCAAGTCTTTTCTCTACAGTATAGGTCATAACGTGCCTCACTGCGGCCTTATAAATACTGCTCCTTGTTCTAAGGTCCTTGTTTTTAAACTTTTACTTTTCCATTAGTTACAAAAATTGTTGATGGAGTAACACGTCTCTTCCGCTGTCATCGTAATTTATAATGTCAACAAAAAAGTGAATAACTAAAGGACCTGGTGGTAGTAGTGGTGGTGAAGGTACAGATGGAGGATTGCAAGCATCGTTAGGTTCCTTCAATAAATTTAAGGTGCAACAATCATTGCATAGCCTTAAAATCGTTGGAGAAGCTGCATTTGCAGACACTGCTGCAGCAGAAAGATCTCCAGAAGAATTTGAAAGACGTCAAGAGACGGTTCCCCAATAGGAAGACCACGAAAACGATGGAACAACTTGCTGTAGGCACATTGAAAAACCGGCAGAGTCGTGTCTATAAAAAGAAGACGAAGATACTTTGAAACCAACGAAAAACCAAAAATTTATATTTACAGACTTTTTTTCTCTGCTTCCTTTGCTCTGCTTTCAATATTTTTTGTTGTGTTTCAGAAAAATCTGTATGGAAGCCATCCTTTTTACTTAATGATTGAGAATTCGACAAAAAGCCATGGAGTCTTTTTACTTAATAGTAATGCAATGGGTAAGAATATATCGAACTGTGTAACATAATGTTTCTCATTTAAATTATGTTTAGATATCATTTTACAACCGACTCCTGCAATAACATTCAGAACAATTGGAGGAATCTTTGACTTCTATTTTTTCTTGGGACCAACACCCAGCGACGTCATCAGCCAATATACAGATCTAATCGGTAGACCTTACATGCCTCCGTACTGGGGTCTGGGATTCCACTTGTGCAGATTCGGTTACAAAACTTTGAACAATACTAGACAAGTCATGCAGAGGAATATTGATGCTGGAATACCATTAGTAAGTTTAGTAATTATATATTTAAAACTTATTTAAAAGCAAATATTTGTAAAACTATATTCTCACCTTCCTACATTTTGGTAGATATAAAAATAAATATAAATCTCGAAGGACCAGCGACCAATAAAATAGAATAATGAGACTTCCGGCAGAAATATGTTTATTTTATGATTTACATAAATAAATGGCAGTATCTGAATTGTCAACAAATCACCCTTTTGAATGATAATAAAAAACATAAATATTAACTGTTCTTAAAATTAAACAAATCAGATGTGTAGAGCAAAAAGGTTTAGTTGTATATCCTGCTACCCTGTAATTTATTGGACCGGCATTTACGAATGATTGCCACATAAAACTGTCGATTTTCTTCTGTATTAATTATTGTAGTAGCAGGTACTTACATACTTTATGCATTAACACTGAATTTTATTAAGTTAACTATTTAATAAAAATAAAGTTAATTGAAATCTACTTCTATTTAAGACAAGTATTTACTTGCTTCTAGTTAATAAACCAAATAGGGAGTTTTGACTAACGTGCTTCTATTTGAGAAGACAAACACGAAGCGATTTAAGGGTAGTTAAGTTTAATACTTTGATTGTAATAAACTGACAGGCGCTAGGGTAAATCAGCAATTTGCACAAATCAAACAAATATTCTTTCGAGTATTTTAATTATGTTGGAAGATATAAAAAATGTAAAATCCACAAGGAAAACGATTCCTGTAGCTGGCTGTATACCACGTATCACAAAAAAAGAGGTTAGTCTTTGTAAGTGGGTATATTTATTTAAAAACCCTTAAAAGGGCTACATCAAAAAAACAAACGTTTTCGGACTAAACAGTCCATCATCAGGTTTAAAATCTGCCTAAAATAAGTACAAACCATTTAATTAAAACAAACGTGATTATGAAATTTTGACTATGGTTAAAAAAGCAAAATGGCTATACTTACTAGGTTAAAATGCCTGAGCCACCAAAAATACATGGGTAAAAACCCTTTAAATTACTTATAGTTATCAAAGATTATACATCTTGTTGTTAAAAAACTGTGATGTTCATTATTAAATTAAATATGACTTCACGTAACATACATTGCAAAAAGTTTTGAGTTCCAGAGCCGGGGAGAAAACCTCTACGCACGGAGAACAGCTGGAAACTGATTTACAATATACCTATGAAAGGTATCAAAAACAAAAATGTCAATGTAACATAGAACTATATTAGTTATACCTAGTATTACTATAGCCAAAAGATTCAAAAATTATTTTTGATGATTTTAAAAAAATAATAACAGCAATATAGGTGTTGGGATTTAAAATTTGGGTTATAATCGATGTGAAATCACCAATGGTGTTAAAGTCATGTTTGAGAGGATGACCTGTGTATTAGGCAACCTATGTTGCTTTTTGTCGTATGGAATATGGTCTAAAAGTGTATTTTATGTTAGATTAGCTTATATATATATATATATATATATATATATATATATATATATATATATATATATATATATGAAAATTATCCTTTTATGTTTATCACATCTAGGACAGGTAAAAATTTTAAATAGTAAATATTTGAAGCTAATATAAGACCTTGTATTTAAATGACTATTTAAGACTGTTAGTATGGTGAGAAATTAATGAAAACAAGTTTGGTAAATTGAAAATCTACAGGCTGAAGAAATCAGAGTTATAACCTATGTGATTAATTTAAAATTGAAGAGGCTGAGCTCCTTAGAGACTTGATGAGAAATAGTAGAGAAAATGACTGAAGAAGGAGGGGATGGTTAAAGGAGAAAAGGAGTTAATCAACAATTAGAGATAACAGTGGTCCTTTATGCTTGAAGCATCTAGCACCCTGAACAAAATGTATTTTAGTAGTAATAAATTCGGTTTGTAAAAATCTAAAATTTTAAATATGAATGTGCTACTTAGTTGTTGATCAAAAGAAGGTGAGCAATGTTGGATAAGGATTTTTTATTAGGGGAAAAATATATGAATTTTGAAAAACAGTTAGATGATGTTTGAATGATTACTGACTTTAAAACTATTGAGTGCATGTTAGATATATGAATTGACCAAGAAATAATGAAAGAAAAGAAAGGACAGGAATGTGATGTAGATGTGAAGAGTGAAGAAAATGATAAAATATTATGGTATGATAGATGTGGGTGGTTATAAAGTTAACACATAAAAAATGTGTTAAACTTAATTGAGAAAAAAATAAATTGATAGATATTTACCAATTTTTTTGCAAGAGGTTCAGAGGCGGAGCAAAAGATTCATAATTTTATTTCTTAAGTTTAATCTAATTGTAGTAATTTTCATTTACCTATACTATTAATTATTTCTTTACTTATATTTATTTTAGGATACCCAGTGGAACGATCTAGACTATATGAACGACAGCAACGATTTTACATACAATCGAGTAAATTTTAAAGATTTGCCAAGTTTTGTAAGAGAGTTGCATTCCAGAGGAATGCATTACATACCTCTAATTGATCCAGGTGTTAGTGCTAGTGAACAACCAGGTACCTATCCACCCTATGACGTAGGAATAGAAATGGATATCTTCATAAAGAACTCGAGCGGAGAGCCCTTTGTAGGGAAGGTAACGAACTGACTAAGTCTCAATATCTATTACTCGCAAGAATATCTTTAAACCGTGACTCATCAGACTTATTCTCCGATAATCACTGCATGTTTTTGCCGGATGTTTGTTAAGTAAAATAGTTCGTTAAATATAGTTCTTCGAGTTTTGTTAAAAAGTTTAATTCCTGTTTTATACAAAGGTGTGGAATAGAGTTTCTACTGTATGGCCTGACTTTACCAATCCCAACGTCGTAGACTACTGGACCTTGATGTTAAAGAACTTACACAAAGAAATCCAATTTGACGGTGCTTGGATCGACATGAACGAACCTTCCAATTTTCTGTCGGGCTCCTTCAACGGCTGTCCCAACTCGAGTCTGGAAACACCACCATACTTTCCTGACATTGACGGTGGCGTGATCAACTACAAAACTGTGTGTATGACTGCTAAACAATACGCAGGCTTACATTACAATGTCCACAATTTGTATGGATTAACAGAAGCGATAGTTACTAATTTGTAAGTATTTTTTATCATAAAAAATAGAGTGTGATGCAAATGTATGGAATAAATTCATAATTTCAGAAAAACAGACTTTTAAAAAATCTTAAAGACGTCAATTTTAATTTTTGAACGACCATCAACTGATATATATATATATATATATATATATATATATATATATATATATATATATATATATATATATATATATATATATATATATATATATAAGCAATACTATATATATATATATGTATATATATATATATATATATATATATATATATATATACAGTATAGGTAAAAGTTTATGGTCGGTATGGTAAAATTTAACAGGATATTTAACGCAGATATAAAATCATATTTTCAGCGAATACACAAAGATAACAATCATATTTCCCCTTGGTCTCCCCTCCTCAAATATTTTTAACACCTATTGGCCATTAGTGAGACGAATAGTTCCGATCAGAGATATTTTACATATTCTCTGGTTCCGATCCTAATATACCTAAAAAACTAGAGGTGGGTCCTCCCGTTTTTTAAATTTTTATCGGAACCGTTTTTCGTAAACTGTAACTAGTTGATTCAAATTAGCGAGTACACAAACATATTGGCTATTATCGTTTATGTGTATAAGTATTGAAGTGAAAGAACCTAACGAAGGATATATTTATTATAACTTGAAAAATAAATTAAACAATACAAATAGTACTTACATTTACATTAAATCGTACTTACATTTACATTACACGTTATTATTAAATCGCGAATCGTCTAAATTGACATTTAAAAACAAGTTTTTCTACTTTTCTTGTTAACCGTGTTCTTCTTTTATTTAAAATTAAACCAGATTTTAAACATGTGTTCACAAGGAAAAGATTTTGTTACAATTCTACAATATTTTATGAATATAGTGGCTAAGTTAGGATATACATGGCGATGGTTTTTCCACCACGGTAATGGACAGTTCCAATCTCCGTTCGAAATTTATTGTGGGTAATATATTATCAGACAAATACATGTCGACTTCTTGTATATCTCTCGATACAGTTGTATGTTTAGATGAGTCATGTCCAATTAATTCATCAAAAATACACAATGGACTGAAGTCATCTTTATCAGTTTCTTTTTCTTGACTAAACTTATTGATTTACTAAACTTATGCAAATACTCGTTTCATCCGTTTTCTATAGGTGAAGAACCAGCTTTTAAAAAGTTTGCATCGTGGATTCCTGGATATAAACCGCCAACAAGAAAAACTGTTAGATTCATTACTTCAGGAATGTTATGTCAAAACTGATTTGATAATAGATAAAATAAAAAGTCCTTTTTTCGACAATTCTGCAAAAAACATTAAAAAAAAGTACCTTATCTTCAGAAAGGCTTTAAAGTATTAATTACAACATAACAAAGTTCCCAAACGGCCAATCCAAGACGTGGAAACTAGGTAGTACTTCACCTATTACAGGTTAAAAAGAATGACTGAGTTAGAAGAGGCAATCCGTTTCACTTCTTCTTTAAGTTCCATCTTCTATCGAAGGTTGGAAATCATCATGGCTATGCCGACTCTGTTGACTGCCGCTCTAAAAAGGTCTGCACTACTGCATTCAAACCATTCCCTTAAGTTCTTAAGCCAGGATATTCTTCGTCTTCCCACATTTCGCTTTTCTCGGATTTTGCCCTGCATAATAAGTTGTAATAATGCGTATTTTTGCCCTCTCATCACATGTCCCAAGTACTCAAGTTTTCGTCTTTTAATAGTTAATATTATTTCTGCCTCATTTCCTATCCTTCTAGTTACTTCAATGTTTGACATTTTTTGAATCCATGATATTCGTAGGATTCTTCTGTAACACCAAAATTCAAAGGCGGCCAACTTATTCAGATGAACTTGTTTTAGTGTCCAAGCTTTCAGACCATAAAGAAGAGTAGAGAACACGTAACATCGAAGCATTCTCAGGCGTAGTTCTAACCTTATATCCCGACAACAAAGAAACTTTTTAAGTTTAATAAATGATGTACGTGCTATTTCAATACGTGTCTTAATTTCTTTGGTTTGGTCTACATCTGATGTTATCCATGTTCCTAAGTATTTATCGTTATTAACACTCTTAATTGCAGTATCTTCAATAGTCAATTGGATATTTGTGCAGATTTAGTCATGATCATGCATTTAGTTTTCTTTAAATTTATCTTCAGTCCGTACTCATCGACAGCGTTCATTAAGGCGTTGTATTAGGTTCTGTAAATCATTGTTGTTATCCGTAATTATTACTGTATCGTCTGCAAAACGTAAGTTATTCAAAACTTCTCCATTGATAGATATACCTGTAAATTACTGATCACTGTAGTGATCTTAAAATACCGATCACTGTAGACATTGAAAAGTAGTGGGGACAGCACGCAACCCTGGCGGACTCCTCTCTGTATTTTGATATTTTCGGTGTACTGGCGTGTATTTCCGTTCCACATCGGTATTAAATAATACAGACTTAGACCAAATCTAAATAAAAAACACTGGATTATTTGTTCTCAGCTTTCCCAAATTTTACGGCCGTTTAAAGAAATAACAAGTACAATGAGTGACCAAAAATACTTGAAGGGTAGTTCAGTGATTGTTATGGTACGCGGCCTGCAAGAATCTTGCAAGAAAATTTTAGCAAACGGTAACCTTACATTCATAGTATCCGACGTAGTACAATTACTAATATCGGGTTTAGCAAAAATATTTAAAGGGATAGAACAGAGTGGCATATTGTCATTATGTACATTTATGGATTCACCATTTAAAGTGCAGGGTTTTTCTGATAAAAATGAAGATAAAAAAATAAAAGAAAAAGTTAAGAAGCTGGTTACTTCTATAATTAACGAACAAGAAGATTGTACTATTGAAAATCAACCAGTACAAGAAAAAGAAACCAATAAAGATGACTTAAATCCATAATAACTTATATATCCTAACTTAACCCCTATATTCATACAGTATTGTAAATGTGAACACATGTTCAAAATCTGGTTAGTAAGCTGCCATTTAAATCAATTTCGCCCAAATTGGATTATCTTAGAACATTGTTCAAATGCAAAAAAAACAACAGGTCAAATAAATCCAATAAGTTTGGCAACGTTGAACTTCCCCTTTCCAGGCATGCATGTTTGGCGATATAAAGGGCGGACCTAATATACCTCTCTCTTTCTAAACAGCTGTTTCTCACTCCATCTCACGTAAGGTCCATACCGACCATAAAATTTTTCCTACACTGTATATGTGTGTGTGTGTGTTGGACATTGCGTTATCAGTGTCGGCGTGACCTCGGTTTGTATTTAAAAAAAATCGTCGTTTACGTGATTACGCCGACACTGATGACGTAATGTCCAACACATATATCAGTTGATGGTCATTCAAAAATTAAAATTGACGCGTAAGTTGTCTGATTCTGAAATAATGAATTTATTCCATACATTTGCATCATACTGTATGTTACATATTTTAACACAGAAATATTCTGTATTTTATTCATAAAATAATTGTCATCAAGTATCGATGAAATTATTAATTAATTCATTCAATTAATAATAAATTAATGTTCAAATAAATTGCAACTATTTCTATTTTAATGATTTGCCTTAATTAACTTATATTATCTTTAGTGCATTAGCAGAAATCCGTGGCAAAAGACCGATGGTAATATCACGTTCATCATTTTCTGGACTCGGCCATTATGCAGGACATTGGAGTGGAGATGTGTGGTCTTCTTGGGACGATTTGAAATTTTCTATACCAAGTAAGTATATAAAAATATTAGCAAACAGATGGACATTAAAATAATATCTTTAATACGTTCGCTGCCATGTTGATCCGATGAGATCATCACTGATGTTGCTTCAATAGGCCACGTTGGTCCAATCGGACCAACGCAAGTATTGCATTAACAGGCCATATTGGCCCTATGGGACCAACATTTATTCCGATATGTACCGAGCCATTGGTGTTTATTTAGTATTAAATCACCATGGGAATGGACCAACGAGGCCTACAAGCTATGTGCTGTATAGAGAATTTGTGCGATTTATGGAGTATGACAAATGTGGTCCCATATAAGTCAAAAACGTTATTTACAACTTTGGGATGATATTTATTGATACAAACATGTTTTTCAACAACAGAAAAATCAAATAATGTAAAACAACCTATACACAGAAAAGGTTCCTTGTCACAGCTTTTGCAAAAGGTGTCTACCTTTTTAGTTTTGTTCATAGCATACTGACGGCCGTGTTGCTCACTATTTTTTTTGTAGCAGTTCTTGCAAATCTTCCTTCATTGATGTTTACTTCCGTCTGCCTTCTGTTCAAGCTGATGGTGATTATTTGACACACTTCGTGGTACAGTAGTGGTTTCTTTATAAGTAACTAGATGTTTCACTATTTGTTTTTTAAAATCTGTCACCGACATGTTGTTATTTGTTACAAGCTTATATATTAAAAAAGAATTTATAACTGATGTAGTTAATAATAATTCAAACCCCACTTTTTTAAACCATTTTACGCTTTTCCTTAGGGGGTTGGAATACGCTCTCATTTGGTCAGATAAGTCTACTGCCGCTTTGCCTTTATTGTAATCTATTACCACCTTGGGTTTCAGTTTAGTTTGTCGATTACAAGATACTTCGACCATTTCATTGCCGTGTTTAGTAGAAAGCATGTAAATATTTCTTTTGTCTTTCCAGTTCGTAATGGTCACTCCATCATCACTTTCCATAGAAGCAATCTGCCCTTTATTTAATTTTGCAGCTACTACTTCTTGGGGTAAATATTTTCGATTTTTTCGAACAGTTCCTATCAGGTGTGTATCGACGGACATTTTTTTTGCTAGCGGTAAACTTGTATACCAATTGTCGGTTATCAGAGTTCTTCCTTGATATACTAAATCCTCCATAAGATACAGAACAACGCTTTCTGGAGTGACGTTAGAACTATTTTCTTTCCCTGCATATACTTTGAAATTCTAAGTATATCCAGATCCAGAACATACTTTAAAATTTTTTACACCATATTTGTGTCTTTTTGTCTTAATGTACTGTTTAAACCCCAAGACTTAACTTAAAAGACTTAAAATTTGCAGTCAGAATGTCGACAAGTGGCTTTAACTTATACAGTTTATCACTTGTATCTGCCAATAAATTATCATTAAAGTGAAACGTCCTTAACAGCATCTCGAATTGATTTCTAGACATTACATTCTTTGCAAAATTATTGTAGAATAGGTTATCGTTACTCCAATAGTCTGCGATTTTTGGCATTTTCACTAAACCCATCCAGGCAACCAGTCCTAAAAATTTTCTAATTTCAATATTTGTCGTTGGAATCCAGTCATGTAAGCGAGAGCTTGGTGTTGGTCTGCAGTCAGTATAGACTGAGTTGCATATATATTTGTTTGGTTACAAATCAGACTAATTACTCTGTCATCGACCACAGCATCAAAAAAGTCTCCAGGCGTACCATTTGCCAACATTGCAGCTACTTCATCATTTACTCCTGACGGAATAGAAAAAGGTGCTATTAGCTTATAATTACCTACTACTGGACCCCAATTTGGTTCTATATTCGGTACTGGATCTTCACTACGGTGTGGATCTAAGTTCGGTTCTGGATCGAGTATTGAATTTAAGTTCGGTCCTGGAACGATATTACCTTGAAGATTATGATTAGGTTGTTCTGGATCATGCATTGAATTCAAGTTCGGTCCTGGATTGATATTATCGTGAACATGACGAGTAGGTTGTGAATCTAATTTTATTTTTTTTTTCTCTGTAAAAACTTTCGTACATTTTCCACCGTTTCTTCTGAATCTGACGAATCTGATTCTTCATCTGAACTACACAGGTACACACTATCAGAAGCTTCGAATGGTTCATCATCGTCATCGGAGAGTTCTCCAAAATTGATTGCAATGTTTTGCAATTCACGCTCTGTCAGAGGTTTAGAACGTCGAGACATCTAAAATTACACAATATGTTGTAAAAATATTGTAATTTAAACATTATTTAATACTTACAGCAATTTATTCTTTCAATTTATTGAAATGAAAAACAATCAACAAGAACAATAGGCAATGCAAATTCGTTTATTTATGATAGGTTATGTTTACTGCGACGGACCAACGGCGCACAGAAGCATTAGTACGGTTCACTGGGCCGCGTTGTCCCGATGGGACCAACACATTTGTTATATGGTGACTCATAGGAGCACTTAAAAAAAAGAATGGCTGGCTCACGGAGGCATTGATTTACAAAATATAGTCGGCAGCGAACGTGTTAAGTATGTTTTACCATTTTTTCTATTATTTTATTAATGTGGTACAGTTTTTGAAGATTATGTACAATGTGTAAGATTATGTGTCTACTGTAATGGTTGACTGTAGAACAAAGGTTTCATGGTGATAGTTGACAAGTCTTTCAGACAAATATTCAATCGCTTTGTCTATTTAACAAACCATTACCGCATAAAATAGTATAATACACATGTTGATAAAGATCTCTATGTTATTGTATCTATCTATGCAAGCTTTATTGATCTAATATGGGACATGAGCATTTCCCAATGTCTTCCATTCTTTTTGCTTCTTGCTATATTAATTCTCCTAACCCTGCGAATCTTTTGATCTTTTGAGCTTTCTTCTTGTTAAATAGTCATTTAAAATTGTTTGTGTTTGACTCGTGCCTATGACTAGTGATGTACCAATCTTAAGATAGGTAATATGTCCATCTGCTTTAATGTTTTCCGGGACAACAGAAGCGACCTGACGGCCTTCAATGAATTCGTCACTGAGACTGGTGCATCCACGCATGGATTCTTCAAACCATCTCTGTCAATAGTTGATAGGTCTAGTGCTTTATCACGAAAATCAAGAGGAAGTCGATCGACGTATTGTCCTTTAGTTAGGCTAACTTTAAAATAGTATAAAATCATCGCACGAGATATTTCCCTTTTTCTCGAGATTAATTATTTTAATTCACGATTAATTTTCAATCTATCAATGTCGTTTACCATAAAAAGTGTCATTTAAGATAATCATATTTACGAAGTCAAGTAACTTGCGCTAGATGGCTCTGTGAAAAACTTTTAGTGTTCGTCTGGTAATCAATGACTGACTTATCGACAGAATAGGGTTTTGAAAATGTCATCCACTTTTTGAAACGCTGATTAGAAAGATTATTTAAGTCGCAAAGCTAAGTTAGCAAAGAGTGAATAGGATAATCCACTTTACATATATTTACAAAGCAGAATAAACTTAGACTCCGCAAAATAAAGATATGGCAATATATTTGTAGGTTGTAATTATTAGTTGATGAAAATGTGTTTTGGCAATATTACTATGGCAAGTTACAAATTATTTTACTCTTTATGTCTTTGTTCTATATTTACGAATTTGGAACTCATTGACTTGTATGTTTTAGCAATCTTGTCCTTCAGTTTGTATGGTGTTCCTTTGATGGGGGCCGACATATGTGGATTTAATGGAAATTCCACCGCCCCATTATGTAATAGATGGATGCAACTAGGAGCTTTTTATCCGTTTTCTAGAAACCATAATACCGACGATGGAATTGTAAGCAGAACATTTTATTTTGCTGTCCAAATTTTCAATATTGATATTTACTAATTTATTATTTCAGGATCAAGATCCGGTTGCGTTTGGACCACAAGTTATCGCCTCTTCTGTAAAAGCGCTATCGGCAAGGTATTATCTCTTGCCTTATTTATACACCTTGTTCCACAAGGCGCATGTAAACGGTGAAACTGTAGCAAGACCACTATTTTTTGAGTAAGTATTGAGTAACTGAAAAATACCAAATATACAATAAAATCTATAGATTGATTTCTACAGGTTTTTTCGGTTTTTAAACTGCCGTTTGATAGTTTATGCTGATATTATCTGCATAAATATCAATACTTTACTGATCGCACCAACAAACAAAACTTACTGAATTCCCGTAAGACACACCATCATGTATGATATTGAATGCTAAGCAGATATTAATATGATCACTCAATTGACAAATCCCCTATTCTGATACAGTAACAAAAACATTAATATTGAGACGATATCACGTCTACAAAAAAAAAGACAAATAGGTAAAGAAATAATAAATAAGACTTACTCACAATCAATTTAATTTAACTATCAGACGACCGGTTTCGCTTTCTACAATATGCAAAGCATCCTCAGGGCTCGATACAAAGTTAAACAAATGCTGAAATAATAAAAACCCATATTAGGGTGTTGTCTAATAACGATAAACAAAGTAGATGTTGTAAATTACAATAATTATGCCAATATTACATGTCTGTGGTTTTATTTAAATGAGTAAGTTGAATAAAAGGTATAAAAGTTTTAAAAGTTTAAACAGACAAGGTAAGGCCCACAAATTGTTATAAAATAGTCTCTTCGATTGCAATAAATTAATGTTAATAATAAATGAAATGAGCAAATAAATAAAATAAACATTACTTACATGCCGGTACTGTATTAATTGATGGATGGTAGAACATGGTTGAAACTACTATGTATTGTTGAATGGAGAACTCAATTCTATTATTGCAGTTGTTTGACAGTAAACGGGAAGTTCTTGAGGAGATAGATTTGATCCAATGAAGAAGAGATATGTGTGTGATTGTTTGTTAAATGAAAGTGATGTAATATACCATTGTGTTATTAAAAGCTATTTATACTTATTCATATTCATTTTATTATTATTATTATTATTATTTATTCGAGAGATATATTTTTGAAATGTGTACACATTTCAAATGTGTACACATGTGTACACATTTCAAAAATATATCTCTCGAATAAGTATAAATAGCTTTTAATAACACAATGGTATATTACATCACTTTCATTTAACAAACAATCACACACATATCTCTTCTTCATTGGATCAAATCTATCTCCTCAAGAACTTCCCGTTTACTGTCAAACAACTGCAATAATAGAATTGAGTTCTCCATTCAACAATACATAGTAGTTTCAACCATGTTCTACCATCCATCAATTAATAGAGTACCGGCATGTAAGTAATGTTTATTTTATTTATTTGCTCATTTCATTTATTATTAACATTAATTTATTGCAATCGAAGAGACTATTTTATAACAATTTGTGGGCCTTACCTTGTCTGTTTAAACTTTTAAAACTTTTATACCTTTTATTCAACTTACTCATTTAAATAAAACCACAGACATGTAATATTGGCATAATTATTGTAATTTACAACATCTACTTTGTTTATCGTTATTAGACAACACCCTAATATGGGTTTTTATTATTTCAGCATTTGTTTAACTTTGTATCGAGACCTGAGGATGCTTTGCATATTGTAGAAAGCGAAACCAGTCGTCTGATAGTTAAATTAAATTGATTGTGAGTAAGTCTTATTTATTATTTCTTTACCTATTTGAAATGGACTCACACAAGCAACACATTCATGATTAAAAAAAAGACCTCTAGATATAAAAAATAAATGAAGATAATTTGTAGAATAGCACTTTTGATAGGCATCGGCTTGTCCTTGGATTAGTATGGGTCTGTAGTTTTTATGTCTGTCTTGTCTCCTTTTTCTATACAGAATTATTGTAATGGATTTCTGGTACCGTCATAAAGCGGCCGTAATATGTAGTGATGCGGCCAGCACAAAAAAAAGGATAAGAGGTTCGTCATCAGAGATACCTTGTACATTGCTTAAGATTCCTTCTGTTCTACTTCTATATCTTCACTTCCTTCAGCTCTACTTTCTCCATTAATTAGCGTACTATCTGGTCTATGAAGTAGCTCATTTTATTCTCACCTTAATTTCTGTGGCCTGTTTCCATTTTGCATTTACCTTAGTATTAAGGTATACTTTTGGGTACTTTTATTTAATATAAAATAACTAAGTTTTTAACTCATCAGCCGCTGAGGATACTCATAATAGTACGTAATTGGAATAATACGTATATTTTCGTTCTTCTGGCTAACAGCCCAATAACAAAATGGAAGGATACACCCAAATTTATTTTCCCTAATTGAGGGCTTTCATTTAACACATACTTGACTGAGTGACGACTACATTTATTTTACAAATATAATATAAATAAAATATAAAACAATTTTTACTTTCTAAAACTATTATTTGAAAAAGGTTAATATTACTGCTAGTAGATACATATTTTTTAACGCAAAAACTGCAACTCTAAGTAACCCCTTATGTTTTAGGTTTCCTCAAGATAAAAATACTTATGAAATTGATACTCACTTTTTATGGGGTTCTGACTTACTGATTGTTCCTGTATTAAAGGTTAGTAGTGCCGTTATTTATTTTGTGCTCGTAAAAAAATAAAGCTATCCAATTCAGCGAGTCTAACCTCTTTATGGAATAGTGCCATTGGATATTATTATTTTTGTATTTTCTTATATGTTTCGTCCTGTTCGGTATTTGTTTTTTTCTACGGACGTATAAAACCCCGTCTAGATATTATTCATCTTAAAATCTTTTACAATGAACTAAATTGACTGTTCGTATCGAAGGTAATTGTTAACCCATTAACGGACAAGCAATGAAAAACAATAATTTTTCCGAATTTTTGTATTGACACTAGTTGAAATGCATCAACTAAGATATGTTTATCATTTTGTAACAAAAAAATGAACAATAACATTAATATAAAATTAACGGTGCGTGTACGCCATCGAGCAAAAAGACAAAAGAGGGAATCTAATCCTTATGAAAAGGAGACCAAAAAAGTGGCCTCTGATGGCGGACATATCCGGAAATGCGAATGCGCCAAATTTAAATTTTCCGACACTTATTAACAGTAGCTATATAATATTTTTCAGAATGTATCTTAGACGAGAAAGTTTTAATTAATTATTAACGATAATAGTCTAAAATGCGACACAATTGTTAAAAAACTTCAATATAAAAAAGATTTCAAGTGACATTTGGGACAAACAATAACATAACCCAACTAAATTTGATGTCAAACAAGAAGAGAGACTCTCTTTCCTTGTTTAATGTGGCCTCTAAAGATCGCACTTCCTGTCTAACAATATTTTTGCCCCCACTGCCTTTACATTCCCTCTTTTGTCTTTTTGCTCGATGGTGTACGCACCCTTGGCCAATACTGTTATACAAAAAAGATAATTTGATTTGATTATTTGAATGAAACGATTCGTGACCGAGATTTAAAAATCGTAAATGTGATTTATGAAATAGAAAAGCACAGAATTAATAAAGGAAGGTGGAGACTCCCTATGCGATACACGAACTAATAGTGAACATATGGAATAATAAACAACTGCCACAAGACTGGAATACCGGAGTAATTATCCCACCACATAAAAAGGGAGATCAGGTTCAACGTAAAACTACCGGGAAATAACGCTACTGACTGTGACATATATAATACTGTCAAATATTGTGTATGACCGATTGAGACCATATGCGGAACAAATAGTTGGGAGATATCAATGTGGTTTCCGCAGGCAGAAGTCCACAATAGATCAGATCTTCGTCTTGAGACAAACCTTGGAAAAGACTAGTGAATTTAATATAGACACACATCATTTCTGATCCATGCAATGAAAAAGTTTAATATTTCAACTTAACTCATTGATATAGTAAAAGAAACACTTAAAGCAAAATTCGAATTCAAAACGAACTAACAGATACAATCCATGTGAGAACGCGTCTACGACAGGGAGATACCCTATCCTGTATTCTATTTAACATCACATTCTTCTTCTTCCTTTGCCCTATTCGTTTCGGACGTTGGCTATTAACAAGGCTATTTTGAGTTTGCTTACGGCACCTCTGAACAGTTCGGTCCATGTTAGTCCGAACCATTGTCGCAGGTTATGCATCCATGAGTGTCGTCTTCTTCCCGGTCCCCTCCTACTGTCGATTCTTCCTTGCACTATTAACTGTAGCAGCCGGTACTTAGTATGCCTCATGACATGTCCGAAGTACTCAAGCTTCCGTTTCTTTACGGTGAAGATTATTTCTTTGCTTTTGCCTATTCTCTGCATTACTTCCACGTTAGTGGTGTGGTCTGTCCAGATATCCGAAGAATACGCGCATTTTCAATTCGTGATCTTATTTCTGTTGACTGGTCCCATTTTGTGTTGACTGTGGTTCCAAGGTATGTGTATGTCTCCACTTGTTCTATTTTTCGGTTGTTTAATGTCAATTGCATCGGAGGTTGTTGTGTTCTGCTGATGAGCATGCATTTAGTTTTGGTTGTATTGAGTTCTAAACCATATTCTTGACTTAACATCACATTAGAGAAAATAATTAGGGAGTCAAAAGTCAACACCAGAAGAACAATAATAATAAAAAGTGTAGAAATATTGGCATTTGCAGATGATGTTGATATCATAGCTAGAAGCGAAAGAGAGATGATAGAAGCATTTAATGCGATATAAAGAGCGGCACAAAACAGTGGCCTAAACATTAACGAAATAAAAACCAAATACATGAATGCCAGTAAATCAACAGGCCAAAGAAACCTACAGAATCTGACATTAGGAGACTATAACATCGAAAGCGTGAAAAGTTTTACATATCTAGATTCACTAGTTACCGTAGATAACAATGTCAGTGAAGAAGTTAAGAGAACAATATATATCGCTAATAAAACATATAATGGGCTGATGAACACGTTAAGCACGGTGAGACATCAACGCAATGTCTCACTGTCCGGTAAACTTAGGCCGGCGTGACACAAATAGACGTCTCATGTCAAACAGAAAATAAGACGGCGTGGCTCACTTTAAAGTCACACGATAATGATAAATTTATGGGAGGCGATAAATAGCCGTCTATAGAAACATCTAATGTGAACCGGTCTGGAATTTTTAGACACATTCAGTACTTACAGTCAACTGAGTGTCATCAATGAGGAGATATTGTATTTCAAAAATAAAATGCATATAAAGTAAACAAAACATTTATTAGCAAAAACTCAGTTACAAAGTAAAGACATAGTTTTATATAAATGAAAAAAAAATCGCATTACTTTGATTTTGTAGCAGAATGCGTTTCAAAAAAACATGGAACACAAAATCTCTTTTTACAAGATGTGCACTGCCATTTCGTTCTTGGAGTTTTGCTTTGTGCTTCTTGCCGTCCTAAAGTTTCTTTTTTTAAAGCATAGCACACAAGACATCGACCTTTAGCGTGCTCTTGTAATACATGACGCTCATCATTTTGGATGTTCTTGACCGATACAAGCTCATGAGTTACATCTAAAAGTGTCAAGGCAAGATGCTCTCTGAATTCAGTAATCTGCATTTTATTTTTCGTTATTTCCTTATAACACAAGTATGCATTCACTAAAGCAGAACCTAAAATTAACTCGATTGCTAACTTCCGGTACCATTTCGTTCCCTTTCTAAGAGAATGCGAATATGCTTTCAATTGATCCGAAAGATCAATATAAGCTTTGGCTTTGTTATAATCCGCGATGGCTTTTGGTTTTTCTATATCTTTAACACGTTGTCTCACTCCCACTACCTCATCGGTGTGTTTGGTGGTCAATAGCAGCACATCTCTCGTATCTTTCCATTTCATCATAACGACACCTGTACCACTTTCCTGGGCAATACTTCATGTCTTTTTAGTTTTTTTGCCACAACTTATTTCGCGTTCAGTTTTCTGTTCGTCCTTACAGTTCCAACAAGATGTGTTTTTCTGTTCAATAATTTAGATGCTAAATCCACACTAGTATAGTAGTTATTCGTATGGAGGGTTCGACCTTTGTCCAAAAGATTGTCCATCAAACTCATGACTACATTCGCTGTTGCATTACTGATACCATCAGTTTCACAATACACTTGTAGATTATAGGTATATCCACCAGTTGTACAAAGTTTGTACAATTTGATTCCAAATTTGTTCTTTTTGTTTTTAATGTACTGTTTAAATTTTAAACGACCTCTAAAAGTAACAAGAGTTTCGTCAATACATACATCTGGTCCTGGCACAAGAACGTACTGAAATCTTTCTATCAACTTATTGATCAGTGGGGTCAACTTTCTAAGTTTATCATTTGTAAAGTTCACATCCTCGTTATTGTTGAAATGGCACATTTGAAGGAGTTGTTCGAATCTGTTTCTTGGCATGAGATCTTTTACCTTGTTAGCGTATAAAAAATTAGTGCTCCAATAAGCTTTTAGACGTGGTAGCTGAACTAAACCCATCCAAATAATTACACCAAGAAATATTTCCATTTCTGTGTTATCAGTGGGAACCCATTCCTTTACGTGGCCTTTTGGCTTCTGCTTCTCTCTCAACACTTGCTCGGCATAAAGATTGGTTTGGTACACCATATGGTCAATAATCTCATTTGTAATAAATAGTTTGAAAAAGTCGTATGGAGTCTGCTCATATCTATCGTAGAATTCAGCTTTAATTCCAATATCAACACTAGAGAAATCAAACGTTCTTAGTGAAGTACCATCAACGGGTCCCCATACTATTTGAGTATCCTGGGTAGTGTTATTTTCTTCATCGGCGTCTTCGGATATATTTCGAGCTATCACATCTTCAATAGTTTGATCAATCTGTAACAAAATAACTGCTGTGATCCAAAAATTTTTCAATTGATTTATAATAGCAATGTCGCCAACAAAAACGAAAGATCTGAACTAAGCTTACTCACCATACTGTTGTCGTGTTCAGTTGTAAGTTCACTGATACATTCAACTGACGTGGATGGAGCAAGTTCTCTTTCAACATTGATCGCCTCAGTGGTTTCAAATTTTTTTGCACGTTTTGTAGGAATTTCTTCATCACTACAGGTTGCGTCACTACTATCAGGTACATACTCATCGGATAAATAAACGTCCTCAAATTCACTTATTTTATCGTCTTCATCAGATAACAATTCATCCCACAATGTTTGCAGCCTACGTTGCTCTTGTTCATAATCACCATTAGCCATGCTGCTCTCTTGATGTTTCGACTTAGAATGATGAAATGTGCGTAGTCAATGAAATCAGAAACATAAACCAACTTGTTGACATGCGCAAAGTGTGACATCACATTCATGTCTCGCCGTCTCTGTAGGCCGATATATTCGGAAAGACGACGAGACATTAATGTGATGTCACGAGAAAAATGATAAAAAATACGTAAAATTTTGCAATATTAGAACTGAACTATATGTCAGTTATACATATTGAGCATTCTATTTAACAAAAAATAAAAAAAAAACTCCCGTCCATGCGGAACTTTTTTTACTTAGTACACCCCTGCTTAACGTGTTAAACATCTAAGATCTAACAACATTACAAGAAAAGCCAAATGCAAAATATACAAGACCCTGATAAAACCGGTCCTTGTATATGGATCAGAGACATGGACACTGTCGAAAAACGATGAGAACCTATTAGGTAGATTTGAACGAAAAATCCTTAGACACATATATAAGGGGGTAAAGGAAAATGAACCCGAGATCATAACATCCATAAAGATCGGACGTCTGCGCTGGATGGGCCATGTTGAACGGATGTTGGAGACTGAAACACTAAAACATATAATGAGGCAAACACCAGTAGGGAGAAGGTCAAAGGGAAGACCCAAACTTAGATACATGAAACAAGATCTGAAAACACTTAAGATTACCATCTGGAAAAACAAAGCAAGGAACAAAACAGAATGGCGGAAAATCCTAGAACAAGCCAGGACCCAGAAAGGGTTGTCGAGCTACTGATGATGATGAAATGTGATTTATGAAATAGAAAAGGAATCTGGAGAGAGAGAGCCGAAGAATATTGTAGTAGAAGAGTAGATGTGATAAAGTGCGAGTTGGGGTGTGGATATGGTGTGGGGAAGTAATATCTCAAATGCTCTCCACCACGTCCTTCTCAGCAATGGAGATATTTAATGAATTCTGCAAATATGCTCGTATGGTGTCTTCCCCCTCCCCCCACACCCAAGCATCGCGCGATAAAATAGCTTAATTGTGTAGAGTAATGTATTTAACTATTATTAACTACTATTATTTTTAAAATGAACTTTAAAATTTAATATACACTTCTATCTTTGTTTTATTTTTTAAGGAAAACGATGTAAAAGTAACTGCTTATATCCCTAAAGGTAACTGGTATAACTTTTACACCCTCGACGGATTTTATAGCAAAGGTGAAAATTTCACTCTTGATGCCTCTCTTGACACGATACCGTTGTTGGTTAGAGGTGGAGCAATCGTTCCGTTACAGAAACCGAAAAATACTACTACAGACTCCAGAAAGTCAAAACTCGAATTACTCATAGCGAACGATGAGAGGAAATCTGCTTCAGGTGATCTGTATTGGGACGACGGCGATTCTCTGAGTAAGTATAAAAAACACTGGTATGTGCTATCTATGGGAATCCAATTAATTTAATTTACATTTCACTTATTAGTTGGGTATTGAAGTTAAACTGGGGCTTAAATAAAGCACACTATTATTTGAGAATTCAAGCCTTTGAAAAATTTGATTTCTTTTTTCAAAAATTTCTACAAGATAAAAGAAATTACAATATCTACAAATGTAATGGGTCGTTGTAAAAAATTTACCAAAATCTGGATTAAAAATACAAATTGGTTAATTTACACAAAGTTAAAGTATACAGCTAAAGGCTGTAGTACATATTAAATGAAATTAAACACAAAGCTTTGTAGCTTTGCTTAAGTAAAGTAACTTGGACACAAGTAACAAAGACTCATTACATTTGCACATATTGTAATTGTTTCTTTTATTGCATTGTAGAAATTTTTGTAAAAGGAAATAAAATTTTCGGAAAGCTTGAATCTTCCATTAATAGTGTGCTTTATTTAAGACCCAGTTTGACTTTAATAATAGTGACCAACTAATAATAGTAAAATTTCTTTTTTCCAAATAAGACAATGAATTAGCTATTTTCTTTGTATAGAGTACCTGCTACTCGATTACTACTTAGTATTCTAGCCTCTGTTGGATTTTTTTAACATTAAAGAAACTTCGCTAGTGAGAACGCTAGGAATAGTTTAGGCAACTTTTCACAATAAAACTTTTATTTCACACACACACCTTACACGAAACTGATTGGATTCCCAAAGGGAAGAGCCACTTATATTTTTATGTAACTTATATATTGATGGATGAAGAGTTTTTTTTTCTGTAATCGTTGATTCTTTTTTCACTTTTCTGTGTCCACTAATAATCGAGAAAAGCGTGTTCCAACTTTGAAGATAATTGCTAAAAAATACTGAAATCTAATAGTGAAACGTTTTACTCATCATTGGCGCTTAGTTTCATCGTTATCGCCTTCGTGACGTCAAATCTCATGAAGGTATGGTCAGTTAGTTCGTGTTAAAACTAATTTGAATGAAGAATAATGCATTTGTTGTCATTAAACTACCCGTCGGCCGGCACCACTGAGTAAAGATGGTCTGGCGTAAGCAGCGTAGAAAAGTAAGTGATACCCCCATTTCAAATCGCAGTGTGCTTTAACTGCTAAAACAGCCTTAATAAAATCTGTTCTTTTTGGAACAAAATTAGTATGTTTTATTTCAAAAATGTCACGTAAGAATTTAAATAGTCGTTGTAAAGAGATGGTAATACTTTTGCAATAATTATGTGATCTATTTGGTTTAAAATGGAGTCAGGATTTTTTTCTCCCATTTAATATAGTTTAAATAATCCTCTCTATATTTATAATAGAGAGGAATGTAACAATACAACACTGAAAACTTTGTTTTCAAAACTTCCACAAAGTTTATTATAAAATCTTATCACTACAGCTGTTTCGGCAGAGTGCATTTCTCAAGTGATCTATTTTTGGTATTCATTTACACTTTATAGTCTTTAACGAAATAGTTCGAAGAAGGTAGAACTGTTTGTCTCAAGTTGGTCACTCAGAATTAGGTCTGTGTTTTTTAATTTGTTAATTTCCATAGATTCTACCAAAGATAGCTTAAGGCCTATATTTCGAATGTGAAGAATTTGAAATTCGTCATTAAAAGAATGATTATGATCTAGAAGTGCGTATGTAGAATCTGTTTTTCTATTATTGAAACCCCTTTTATGTTCTGCTATTCGTTTATTAAAATTTCTACCAGTTTGACCGATGTAAGTTTTTGGTCAGTCGCCACATTTATGTTTGTATACACCACTGTGTAAGTGCTTTTTATTTTGGCTCTTTTTGTTTTTAATATATTTGTCTAAGTTGTTGTTTGTACTGAAAACTGGTGTTATTCCTTCCTTTTTTTTAAGAAATAATCTTAATATATTTTTTAGATTCTTACAAAGAAAAACAGTATTCATCACTCATGTTCGAACTCGAAGAAAACACCCTACGTTCCTATGCTACTTTCATCGGATCTGAAATACCACCGAATCTTGACAGAATTGCTGTACTGGGAATTGAAGACAATGTAAAAGAAGTTGTGGTTAACGGTGCTAGTCATAAGAATTTCGATTACAATTCTACAAATAAGGTAATGTATAATTTCCACTACATATAATTTTTTAATAGGTTTTACATCTTCAGTTTACTTTTTTATGTAATAAACTCAAGGGCCAAAATGATATGTTATGACTTGAAACACAATACGATACAATTAAAACAACAAGATTAATGTAAAAGTGTGAAATGAAGATAGTCAGAGGTATCACAGGAAAAACTTTATGTGGCATACAACGTAAGAGGGTAGTAATGCATCGTTATATCTCTTTAGTTGTTTCAATTTGTTACTATTTTTTTCAATGTATCTTTGATTAATATTAAGATTAAAATGAGTACTCATGATACGCAACTTGTGTTCAAAAGCACCATGACGTCAGAGCAATATTATAGAAAGGGTTTTAAAGAATTATTTTCACTACAAATTTATATTATTGTGTTAGTTTCCATTTCCACCACTTTCCATTTATACTTATTTTGTAATTCAACCTTTATTTCACTATTTTTTTCCTCCTCCGAATTGTCCCTTTATTTTTTTTAGATCACCTTCAGTGAAATACTGTGTCTCTCTTAATTTTTTTTTGTACTCCTCCAAAAAAGGTGGACCAATTAATGCAGACCGAAGAACTGGAAGAAGTGGCTAAGAAAAAACATTAAAATAAACAATCCAATGTTGAAATGCATAAGGCATATGTATCATTTTTATTACTACTAACATCAATAGATTTTTGGCCAGATAAACAAGAAATAATACTCCTTCTATATTAAATGCATCCCCTACTCTTATTTCTTTTGTAGTAAATTTGTTCAGTTTGTCCTTGTAAATGCTCCTTTACATGCATTTCACAATTTCATTGATTTCTTCTTCTTGATGTGCCTATCCGTTACGAATGTTGGCGATCATCTGTATCTTATCTGCAGCAGCGCGGAAAAGCTGCACAGATGTTGTGTTAAACCAGATTCTGAGGTTCTTTAACCAATATGTTCTTCTTCCTGGACCTCGCTTTCCAAATATTTTTCCTTGCAGGATGTCTTGAAGGAGAGCATATCTTGATTCATTTTGCATAATATGTCCGAAGAATTTTAACTTTCGAGATTTGATGGTGGTCAGTACCTCTCGGTTCTTATTCATTCTTCTGAGGACCTTCTTATTTGTGACTCGGTCAGTCCACGGGACCTTAAGTATTCTCCGATATAGCCACATCTAAAGTGCTTTCAGTTTTTTGCACATATCTTCGTTCAAGGTCTTTCCGTCTGATTCCAGTTAAGATTTCTAATTATTTTCAGATCTTGGTTGTTAATCCCTGCTTCTTTTAGTATTTGCATCCTCTTGGCGTGCTGTATCCGATCAAACGCTTTCTCGTAATCAACCAGACATGCGTATACGTCGCAGTTGACGTCTCTGCATCTCTGGAATAAGACTTGTATTGAGAACAAAGCCTCTCTAGTACCAACAGCATTTGTGAACTCGAACTGGTTTGGGGAAATTTGACACAGCTTGTAGATTCTCTTATGAATTATCTTTAGGAACAATTTTAGGAGACGACTAATGAGGTTTCCAGTACGGTAATCTTCGTATTTTTTGGAAGTGCAATAAACTCAAATTTCAGCCATTATGTTGGTATTTCTCCAGAGTTGTATATATATATATATATATATATATATATATATATATATATATATATATATATATATATATATTGTATTTTATTGATGGGTTTAAGATTCCATTTGTATTAGAAGTAATTTAACTAAATTAAATTTCTCTATGGTAGTTACTGCTTGACCACTGCACCATATCGCTTAAATCATCTATTCTAAAGTAGTTAGTTTCTTATGTTAGTTCATTTTGCAGCCTTTCCATATGCTTCTTTTGAAAATACTTAAAGTATACCACACATAGTCAAATGAGGTCTAAACGTTGAATAAGCTTGTTTATGAATTTGATTACATAACTAACAAATACCCCTCTTATATATGTTACAAAAGTAGCCAAAAGAACTTGAAGAGACGATCTTATTTTCTTTAAATTTCTGACAAGTTATGTTATGATATCCTGCGTATTTCTTTTATGGGGTGACTAGTCTGCTCCAATTACGATTTTTTTCAATGTCTTTGTATTTAAAACATCTAATTAGAATACAGATGTACTTCACAAAGTATGTAGAGATTAAATTTAATTAGTAACTACAATATATTAATTTTTTTTTCTTTTTCAGTACTTAAATATCGACAAATTGGATATACCTCTTCAATCTCCTCTGGTTATTTCGTGGAAATAACTCAAATATTATTATATAAGTATATTTATTATTTTTCTTCTGTATTTCTCATTACTCATTTTATTACCATATTTTGAACTTTTATTGTAGAAATATTAGGCATAATTTTTTTTCTTAAAAGTAACAAGTTATTTCTAATTCTTTTAAAACATTTCTAAAATGGAGAGTTTTTATGGGAATGGTAACTTTATACTCGTTTTAAAGAATTAATAATCTTTCATTTATTTAACTAAAAAAAAATAAAAGTTTATGATAAAAGTCCGTGATGACTGATTCTGCGTCATTTCAATAAAGGCGTAGGGAGTAGCTTTATTAAATTGACTAAATAGAAGCAAGAAACATGCGAGTACTTTTGAAAACAGATGACTTAATAATGTATAGTGTAGTGAACTCCTTGCGAGTTGTTCCAAGATACAGTAAATCGATATATTATGGAAGGTCCGGTTATTCTCTTGTTCAATGTTAGTAGAAACAGTAGAAGCTGATTGAAAAGTAGTTACTACTATTTCAAAATTAACTTTACCGAAGCTTTGAAAAGCACCCCAGCTGGCACCGACTCAGACATGCCGCTATTGCCTTTTACCGCAAACATATCAAGTACATAAGATTTTCTGCTTTGTTGTTTATATTTGACTTTTATATTTTGAACGAAGCTTGAATTTTTCTACCGGTAAGAGTTTTTAGTGATCCAAAAATTGTGAACTGTACACTCAAATCACTTATAATTCATGAAGTCGTTAATTTTAAAAAGCCTATTAATAAAGGAAGAGGATTTTAAGAATCACAACATGTTTACGTGGAAGCAAATATAACAGTGATAAAAGCTTCAAGGAATAAGATCATCTCTGTAAATTATACAACAAATATCTATCTATATCTCAGCTTTATTCATCCCTCTAATTCTATTATATTTACATATTATTCCCTAATCTTATCTTTTTCATTGCTATATTCATTTCATCACAACAAGCTCTCAAAAACCTTTTCTGCATTGCTTCTAAACAATCGATGTGGCACTGGTAATAAAGTGACCAAACAATTGAGGCATAATATAGGATACTACGTACCAGAGCCCAATAAAGAATCCTATAGGCCATTACTGAAAATTCGATTGAGGTCCTTGTTACAAATCCCAAGCTACTCAGAGTCCGACCTGTAATATCTCTTATGTGTGCAGCAAATCTTAATGATGAGTCAAATACCAAGATCTCGAATTTTACGCCCTCTACATAAAATATTGGAATGTATCTGATAATCAAACTCATTGCATGACCTAGACTTAAAAAGGTTATATTAAAACATTTATTTAAATTCAACGACCATCTATATAATGAGTTTTTAAGTCTTCCTGTCTATCTCCATATAAAGTTTAAGATCATCAGCAAAGAATAAAAATTTGGCGTGCTTAAATATTATAGCTATATCATTCATGAATAGGTTGAACACTAAAGGTCCCAAATGAGACCCATAAGGGACACCAGAGAAAACAAAAGATTTTATCTTCACATATTGAACTCGTTTACTTAGATAACTAGCAACCTACGGTTAGGGACGATAGGAGAGAAATTCTTGAGGAGGCTAGGACTTATGAAGAGTTGTAAAACCAGAATGAAGATGTAATATATATTTTCATTATTAGTGCGATTTTAATCTGATATGCAGTATGACTTTTTTAATTAGAATTGTAATTCTTAGTAAGTCATTACTTGTACTAAATCATTTCTTCAAGTAGATTTGTTCATTAGATTAGTATCAATCGAATTTTATTGTTTACCTATTCGTTAGTCTATTTAAGCAGCTTAGAGATGATATTAAGAGGAGAGAATGACAGGATCACTACACTAATACCTTATTAAGGAGTGCTAAGACCAAAAAAATACCATGAAAATGTTGACCATGCATGGGAGAATCAGTGTAGTAGATTCATTTAATCCATGTTTAAAAAAATATTGTACTAAACCGATCCTCAATACTTTTTTGACGAGCCAATCCCCATAAAATATCTCCTAATATACTTCAAATAAATCTTATTGTGAAATACTTTCTAAATATGCAAATTCTATTAATGCAATACGCTCAATTTGAGGATCTTATAGTTGTTAGGAAGGACACATATTGAAGCTTTTGATTCCTTCTTAGAGAATAGGGGATTTCAAATCATTAAAAATACTATTTTAAATAATGTTTACAAAACTACAATTAATTTGAATTAATGTGAATACAATTGATCATTTGAAATAAACAACATTATTTATAGACGATGAAATAACTCTTGTCGGATAGGCCGCAATTGACGAAGTAAGTCTATAAACGTTAGTCACATAAAAACTTTTATCAATCATAAACTTCGAGTTTTTATCGAATTTAATTAATTTCTTTAGTTATAAAAAAACGTTTTTTGGCTCTACCGTGCTCGATATTTGCCTTGTATATATTATCAAACTTTTTTTTTGTTTCTTAATTAATTTGAATACAATTAATTACTTATTTCCCTTCCTTACAAAGGATTGGTGTCTTGTTGTCTTTCTCTTCCTTCCACATTTTCATTTTCTGTTCATTTTAATCTTGCCAGTGTCTATTTTTGCTTCAAAGTCTTTGTATTTAATTTTTGACAGCTGCTAAAATTATACTACATACCTTGACAATCTATCTCAATGACGGATGTTCACCCAAAGTAACAATATTAGTGCACATTTTGAGATTGCTGTCTATCCCCAAAAATAAGAGCATAAAACGTTTTAGTTCAGCTTACTTCAGCAAAAACTCAATTAAAAAAAAACAACAGTGCATTTCATCTGTAGCTCAGTATGTGTCATTACTCACAGACTGTCAAAACTTGTCACGAAAATGACATAAACGTGTTGCCAACTGCTAAAACAATAAAATTGTGAAAAATATGTGTTCACATTAATTCGCACAATACTGTACTTAACAGTGTACTTTTACGTTTTGCCAAGTTTATCGATTAAATGTACTTGATTATACAATATATACCTATTGTTGATAAGTGTAAACAATTTACCACGTCATATTAAAGTTAAAGAAATGTCTGTGTTAAGCCAAAGTTCTATGTAAGTTCGTTATCCATTAGATGCCAAATTTTACGAAGAAAATTATTTAATGTTACCTGATAGATGCTAAAATTAGTCTTAGAATTAGATATATGGATAAGGTGAAAATATTGTGATTTTATTGCTCAATGACAATGTTTAATTTTAACTAAAACGTTTGTGACTGGCTGTGTTGTCAAATAAGGGACTATTGTATAGTGCTGCGAAGTGGTGCCTTTACATCTGCCAACTTAGCGCAATTTGTTCTCTATATTTGGAGCAGAATTAAATCAAAATATTAAATAGAAAAATAGTATGAAAGGAAAAACAGTACAATCTCGTTAATAAATTAAATCATAGTTTCAACATATCGATAAAAACGTTTATAATTAATTAATATGTAGAACCTTTGTGTGTCCTAATTTTTTACTCAAAAATAATTTTTTTATGTAAAAAAACCTAACCTAATCTTTACTCAACGATAAAAACTCACCTCCAGTCAATTTGTCGAAAGACTAGTTTTTCTTTGACTTCTAATAGCAGGTATAAAATCTCTCTCACCATATACATATTAATTATCCCTAACTTTATACTAGCAAAATACTATTCACGTAGTGTCTATGGTTCTGATCAGAGCTTGCCAAAAAAAGGAACATCCAACGGTTTTGGATCGTTAAACTTTGCAGTGAATCAAATCAAATGAACTAGTATTACTAAAGGTACTTACTTTCTGTTTTTATCCCTACGAGGGATGGTTTCTCTAATTGACTTTCTTCTTCATAAGTTTCTTATTTTGGTAGAGTATACATTTTACACAATAAAACAATCAAATCAATCACTTATTTGACAGCAGAGCTATCTCTTTGATAATATTCTCCATCCATCATAAAATATTTTAAGTAGTTAAAAATTTGTCATGTGTGTGCGAAACGTATATGTTTAGAAATTAATGTCGGAAGTAATGATGTTCGAAACTTATTTTTTGGAACCAGTGTATACATATCGTAAAGTAACAAAATAAATTTTGTTTCAACGTGACTGTAGTTTTATTGGAAGGTGGGAGCATAGCTTTCATATCGCGGGCTACGGACAGAGCGGTGGATCGCACACAGGTGTGATAAAGATAAAACCGACTGTAACGACAGATTGCGCAATTACTCACTTCGCGCGACCACACACAACGTGTAGTAGTAAACGCGTCCCATACCTACACATTTATTGTTATTAAGCCGAAGACAATGGCTAGAAGAAAATTGAGAAACTCTTTCTAAATCATAATTAATTGCTGCCACTGCCTGTTTAAACTCATCAGGCTTAAAGGATAAGTAGATCTGAGTGTCATCAGCAAAATAGTGCTGATTACAGGAGAGAAAATAAGCAGGAAAGTTTGGAAGTATATATACTAAATAATTTGGAACCCAATATAGAGCCCTGTGGTACCCCTTTATTTGTTTTAAGATAGTTCGATGTCTCTTGTAATGAATATTTTGACTTCTATTATTGAGATAACTGAATAGCATATCAGATGCCTGCTTAGACATACCAATATACTTAAACATTGAAATCAACAGAGAATGGTCAAGCGTATCAAAAGCTTTGGAATAATCCAAAAGAATCAGCACTGTAATTAAGAATAAGGGTTCTGGTCCTGATTAATTACCTCCCAGCTTTCTTAAGAATTGTTTTTTATATTATCCAGACCTCTTTTTCACATTTTTAATCTATCCGTAAATAAGGGTAAATTTCCAGAATGCTGGAAAAATAGTTTTTTAACATCTATTTTTAAAGCGGGAGATAATTCATTGCTAAATAATTACAGGCCCATTAATATAATAATTGTTGTACCAAAGATATTTGAATGTTTTGTATGTGACTACCTTAAAGCTTTACTTGAAAAACAGCCACAATTTGGATTTCGGAATAGCAGATCAACTGAATGTAATATACTAGTATTTGTGGACTTTCAAAAATCAAATGACATCGATGCTGGCACTATTTCAGTTCCAGGCATCAACGACGG